TGCCAACGTCCAATGGCTGTTATGGCTCAAGAACAAGAACAAGAATAAGAACAACAAGAACAAGAAGAAGAAGGAATGAAACAATTTGGTGGATGGAGATAAAGTACCTAACGGAGCACCTTTGCTCACTAAAGTACAGGGTGCTATAATTGCAGAGGTGCTTTCAGGATTTCATGTATTCATCAGAGTGACCAAAGCAGCACTGCATCATAAGCTCTGCTTGGTTTTTTGAGATACATGTGACTCCCAACAAAGGGACAGAAGGAAACAGGGCAAACCTTGGGTGGGATCACTGCTAATCATCAGCCTTCGCTTGACATGCACACACCACTGATGCCTCTATGATGGCATGTTGCGCATGCGCAAGATGGCGGTTCCCCGAAGTGTCAGCTGAATTCGGGGGATGAAAGATGAGCGACGGGAAACTGGGGGAGGCCGTTTTTCCATTCTTCAACCCCCTGCCCAATATGCTGAGCCTCCGGCAGTTCAAATGAGCCATCTCTGGCAAGAGACGGCTCTCGGACGACCTGGGACTGGCGAGGAGAGGATTGCATCAGCTGGGCACCGCTGGGAGGGTGGCCTCGGCCTCTGCAATAGCACCGCGGCCTTAAAGTTCCATCGGCTGGATTGGCGCTACCCAGACGCGGTTTGCTTTGCTCTCAGTGCTCCTGGATTGGAGGGGGGGACTGCTACAGGCGCTGCGGCTGCTGTAAGATCGTCAGCCCCCCCTGGAGGATCTGCTGAGGCTAGAACAGTGGCGTCATGGGCAGTATGGAGGCCTTGTCAATGGCAGAGAGTGCCATACTGAAGGTGCTGGGAATGACCCAGCAGACCATTCCGCTGGGATTACATCTAATTGTCCTTGAAGGGTGTGAGGCCGGGAAGATCTGGGCTGTAATAGCCCTGTGAGGACAGACTATGACTGCAGGGTGAGTGGACCTGGAGAAGATCTGGGGGGGGTGGGAGTTTGCCAGAGGGGAAGTGGTAATTGTACATCTTGCTCTTCCCTGGGGCCTCCCCCCCCACACTTTTGATGCCCCCCCCCAGACTACTGCTTGGCTCAGTTTGGCCCACCCTGCCTATTCATCTTCAGATGTTTGTTGGGACCTTTGTCATCTTCCTCCTTATTGATCTGCTATCTGATCCCTGGCTTTTCTCCCATCGCGATGTGTTACATCTCATACTTTTACTCCCTATTACTGCCTTTATTGGACTTGGCGTATTGGACAGAGATATGGATCCTCAGGCTGAAGAGCCGTGAGTCTTGGTGGACTGCTGCTGCATTATATTCCTAAGAACTGTTCTATGACTCTGCTGGCGGTTGTTCTCTGCCTAGCCGCCATGAGAGGACCGTTGCGGCCAGTTCCGTTGGACCTATTCACTGCAGCTGTTCAGACTCCTCCACAGCTGTGAGAGAGTGGTGGTTATACCGGCCTGGTTTACTCCTATCTTGACATATCTGCCCCTCTTTTTACCATCTTGGTTCCCTGTCGCTGTCTTACATCCACCTCTTATGTTTATTCTGGCGTACACTTTGGCGACCCTCCTCGCTCTGCGAGATGCCCCCCTCTCACAGACATGGCCTTCGAATTTATCGAAGGCCTACCTCAAGGACGGGTTTTGAAACCTCGAGTGGTAGCATGCCTCGAAGCGTAGCCCACCAGGTTTCAGAGTGTTCCACCAGCCGAGGGCCCAGGGGAGGGGCGGGGATTGGCGGTCATTATTAAAGAAGGTCTCGGTCCGCGGGAGACCACTGTGCCTCAGACTGCCGGATGTGAATCCCTCTTTGTGAGATGGGGTCATGGGGTTCAGATGGGCCTGTTGCTTACGTACCTGGCTTCCTGCCACGTGGCAACGGCCCTGCCCAAACTACTCGACGTGATAGCCACAGTGGCAGTTGATATACCCAAGCTTATGGTCATGGGTGATTTCAACTTGCCATCCGTTGGTGAAACGTCTGAGTTGGCTCGGGAGTTCATGGCTTCCATGACGGCTATGGACCTGACCCAGTTAGTTCATGGCCCAACCCACAGGGGGGGTCACACTCTGGACTTGATTTTTGTCTCTGGCCAGTGGTTGAGTGGTCTTGTTATAGGGGATATAGACATGGAACCCTTGTCATGGTCAGATCACTCGCTCCTTCACCTGGACCTTCAAACCACCATACCCCACCACAGGGAGGCGGAGCCAATAAGATGGGTCCACCCCAGGTGCCTGATGGATCCTGATAGGTTCCAGATGGAGCTTGGGCCACTTCCTGAGGATCTGGCGCATGACTCGGCCGAGGACCTGGTGGCTGCCTGGGACCGGGCATCTGGTGTGGCCTTGGATCGAGTTGTGCCTTTGTGGCCTCTGAGCTGGTGTCGATCCCTCGTGGCTCCTTGCTTCTGGGGAGACTTAGTGCGGCCACATGTTTACTGGACCCGTGTCCCTCCTGGTTAGTACTGGCTTCCCGGGAGGTTACATGAGGCTGGCTCCAGGGAATTATCAACGCTTCGTTGAGTGAGGGTTACTTCCCCACTGCCTTGAAAGAGGCGGTGGTAAGGCCTCTCCTCAAGAAGCCTTCCCTGGACCCGGCAGTATTAGCCAACTACCGTCCTGTCTCCAACCTTCGCTTTGTGGCGAAGGTTGTTGAGAGTGTGGTCGCATGACAGTTTCCACAATTCCTGGAGGAAACGTCTTATCTAGATCCGTTCCAGTCGGGTTTCAGGTCTGGGCACAGCACGGAAACGGCATTGGTTGCATTGGTAGATGATCTCTGGAGGGCGCGGGACAAGGGTTGCTCCTCTGTCCTAGCCCTGTTAGATCTCTCAGTGGCTTTTGATACCATCGACCATGGTATCATGCTGCACCGGTTAGAGGAGTTGGGGATGGGGGGCACCATATTAGGATGGTTCTCCTCCTTTCTCTCAGACCGGTCGCAGTTTGTGTTGGCAGGGGGGCAGAGGTCGACCTCGAGGCCTCTCATTTGTGGAGTGCCTCAGGGGTCAGTCCTCTCGCCCCTTCTGTTCAACATTTATGTGAAGCTGCTGGGTGAGATCATCCATGGCTTTGGGGTGAATTACCATCAGTACGCTGATGACACCCAGCTGTACATCTCCACCCCAGGCCACCCCAACGATGCCCTTGAAGTGATGTCCCAGTGCCTGGAGGCTGTGCGGATCTGGATGGGGAGGAACAGGCTCAAGCTCAACCCTTCCAAAACTGAGTGGCTGTGGTTCCCGGCATCCCGATATAGTCAGTTGACTCCATCACTGACTATCGGGGGAGAGTCTTTGGCCCCTGTGGAGAGGGCGCGCAATCTGGGAGTCCTCCTGGATACGCAGCTGTCCTTGGAGGAACATCTGATGGTTGTAGCCAGGGGGACCTTCTGTTAGGTTTGCCCGATTCGCCAGTTGCGACCCTTTCTTGATGGGATTCCCTTTGCACGCCCTCGTCACCTCGCGCCTGGACTACTGCAATGCTCTCTACATGGGGCTCCCCTTGAAGAGCACCCGGAGGCTCCAACTGGTCCAGAATGTGGCCGCGCGGGTAATCACGGGAGCCGCCTGGCGCTCCCACATAACACCGCTCCTGCGTGAGCTGCACTGGCTCCCAGTGGTCTTCCGGGTGCACTTCAAGGTGTTGGTTACCACCTTTAAAGTGCTCCATGGCATAGGACCTAGTTATCTTTGAGACCGCCTGCTGCTACCGATGACCTCCCACCGACCTGTGTGCTCCCACAGAGAAGGGCCTCCTCGGGTTGCCATCAGCCAAACAATGTAGGCTGGTGACCTCCAGGGGGATGGCCTTCTCTGTGGAGGCACCTACCCTCTGGAATCAGCTGCCCCCAGAGATAAGAAGAATCCAAGACCTCGGTGCCTTCCACCGTGCCCTTAAAACTTTCTTTTTTCAGCAAGCCGGGCTGGCTTAATAAATTTTTTTAAAATTTTTTAATTGGTTTATTTTAAATTGGGGCCAAATTAATATATATCTTTTTAATTGTTTTTAATGTTTGTATTGTATGTTTTTATCTGGCTGTACACTGCCCTGAGTCCCTCGGGAGAAGGTGCGGTATATAAATTCTAAATAAATAAATAAATAATAAATAAATAAATAAATAAATAAATAAATAAATAAATAAATAAATAAATAAATTTCTCAGTCTTAGTCAAACTCTCTGATGTGTGGACTTCAACTCGCAGAATTCTTAAAGTTGCCAAGGTTGAGAAATGCTGCTCTGAAAAATGTTTTATAGGTGGCATTTAACACCAGCGAGATTGGCTAAAATGTATACAAATATGAAACTGGAGTGCTGGAAGTGCAAGCACAAGGATGGAACATTTTATCACATGTGGTGGCAATGCCCCAAAGCAAAAAAATATTAGGAACAGATAAGGAGATGGCTGCAGGAGATAACAGGAGAACAAATTGAATTCAAAGCTGAACTATTTTTATTAGGAATGATTAACCGAAAGATCAAGAAGCAACTCCAATACATTATTTTACACATAGTAACTGCAGCGAGAATTGTCTACGGCTCAATGTTGGAAACTAGATAATACACCAGCCAATGAGATGATTATATACAAGATACTAGAATGTGCTGAGATGCATAGGCTCACCTTAGAAATGAAAGGCAAGGAAGAAGCAGAATTTTATGAGGTGTGGGATAAGTGGTATAACTGGTTAGAACAGAGAAACAAAAATGTATAGGAATAAATATAAAATACCTGTAAGAGACACATGACACAGTACTGTTAAAAATGTTTGTTGTTATGTAAATTGAAAATAAAAAATTAAAATTAAAAAGAGAGACAGAGAAAAACGCTGCTCTGTGCCAAGGAGATAAAAAAAAACCCTTGCCCACCGAAGCAGGACGGGTGGCAAAATTAGGAAACACGTTCGGTTTCTTTGCCCACGAGAGGGCTCTCTGGTCTTTCTTTGCTAGACCCGAAGTACCTGCTAGTTTTTCCTCTTAGCTGCCAACAGCATATGCAAGAGTCCCGTTTTGTTTTCCGGGTTATTGGGAAGTTTCTGTGATTGCTCCGCTTACACGGCCGTCTTATTTCGATGCAAGGACGTCTAAAAGCAGAGACCTCTTCCTCCTTTTTGCCTTAACTCTAAAGTAAGAATTTTTTCCCTTCGATATTCATCTTAAAAAAATCTTCTTGACGCGGCTGAATCTGAGCAGGTAGAAAGCTGGTGTGTGTATGTGTGTGCGTGTGTGTGTATGTTGTGCCCGGGTGCCCATCCTTCCGTCCGTCCGCCCACCCGCCTGCAGATCCAGCATTGTGGGTGTATTGTGCAGCCCCTCCTGGAGTCTCTTCTCAGCAGCAGAGAAATCGGCCGGGTTGCAGGTCAGTTAGAAAACAGGGGGCGGAAAGAGGATTTGAGACGGAGGGATTGACAAGCACAACGCCCGGGGTTTCTTTTGAGCCCCAGGCTTTGCTGATCAGCTTTTTTCTCCAACCTGGAAAGGGGGAACGGGATGAAGATTTATTTCCGACTATAGAGGGGGGGGGGGATTCTGCGATGCAAAATCGGTTTCTTTCTCTCTGGGGGGGAACATTTTTATAGGCAGGGGAATACTCCAGGCAGCATCTGAGGTCAAGCAACCTGACCCTCTTAATAACAGGGAGAATAAGGTAGCAGAACTAGAAGCAAATTGTGGTGACATTTCTCTTTGGAGAGGACAGAATGAGCCAAAACAGCAAGTGTGTGACTGTTTCTATCAATTATGAAATGTTTTACATGATTTGTGTCTTGCTTGTTTTCTCCTATAACTAGTTGCAAAATTTCCTTTGAGATGGACCCCCAGACACTTCAGCTTTCCCAAGTCCCAGTAGAAGAAGCAATTTCTTGGGATCCACTGGGCGACTGGTGTAGAAGAAGATCCGTTTGGTCTGTCTCCAAGAAAGATCCAGAAGCCCATCGCTTTGGGAAAGAGGAACCAATTGGCATCCCTGAGGAGGTCAAGGTGGACGTGGATGCCCTACTCAAAGACATTGAGGAGCACAACAGGCAGAGGTTTCGTTCCGATGCTCTTCCTTTGGGAGAACGTCCCTGGCAGACTCTGTTCCAGCTGGGAGAGGCTGCTCAGAGATGGCTGAGACCACAGGATCGCACTAAAGGACAGATTGTGGATGTGGTCATCTTGGAGCAGTTTCTGCATGTGCTTCCTTTGGGAATGCAGGCTTGGGTGAGAGCCAGGAAGCCAAGTACCAGCCAGGAGGCAGCTCAGCTGGCTGAAGTTTACCTGGAGCAAAAGGTAAATTCTTTCTAATAAGAAAGGGACACACACAGAGACAGATTCTTGGTCTAATGCTAGGACTTTTGCTGTTCCTCTGACCACAAGCACTAACTAAGTAAGAAGGGGCCTTGGGCAGGTTGGCTTCTGAATTTGTCCTGCAATAGGTTATAAAAGGAGTTGGCAGTAGAATGAGGGAAAGCTAAAACTTCATCTCCTTTAATAACAATTCCCAGCTTTCTAGGAAAGCCTGTTCTTACTTGGAGAGCTACAGATCTAAAATATACCCCAATATCTGGGTTCATACCTTGCTAATTACAAATCCTGGGTTGGTACCTCAGGTTCACGTAATGTCTTATAGTTATATTGTAATTTAATCCAATGGCCTGGTTAACATAATAAATCAGTGGCTGGTTTTCTACAGCTTGCTGAACCACGAATCACAACAACAAATGAAAACTGAGTTGGATCCCAGTCGTAGGACTGTGGTTAAATTTCTAATCTTTGTCCTGCTACTTTTTAGGGGAGACCTTGCTTCAATATTATGCTTAAATATCAACTACCAAAGAGCTTTATATAAACTTAGATAAGGAATTACAAATTCAAGATGCAGCACATATTATTGAATATTTTTGCTAAATGGCATGGTTACCAGTCATCAGAATAGTAGACAGAAAAACTAAATGTTGGAAATGCCATCAAATACCAAGATCTTATTATCATATGTGGTGGACATGTTTGGAATCTTAATTCTATTGGAACAGAATTCAGATTTGGTTAGAGGAAATAACCGAACAACATATTGATTTAAAACCGGAGCTGTTCCTACTGGGTATCCTACCAGAGAAAATTAGTAAAGAAAATGTATATTTGATTATTCATATAATAACTGTAGCGAGGATAGTATTTACACAAAGATGGAAAGTAAAGAAAATCCCGTTGGAAGGGGAAGTAATTAAAAAAATTTTAGACTGTTCAGAAATGAAGAGATTAACCTTGATTAAAGAGAGGGAATATACGGAATATTTTAAGATATGGAGGAAATTTTATAATTGGTTAGAAAAGAGAAATAGATAAAGATTTTGATAACGAAATAGGAGAATATTATATTAAATGTATTATACTTGGGGGGAAATATTGTAATAGAGAAATGGAAATTATAAGGGAAGAAATGAAGATAGGAGGAGTAATCAAAAAGAAGAAGTTACTTTGGAGAAAATTTTGGATTATGCGGAAGCCGACAGACTGACTAAAGCATTGAGAGATCAAAAGGACTCCGTATATTTCCAATGTTGGGACAAATGGTACGTTTGGTTGAACAACAGACGCCCAAAAAGTCAAGTATAACCAGGATTATGTTTAATATATGTTAAATCTGACTGAAGCCTACATACCGTAGAAAGTGTAAATATCATGCAAAGTTCCTGTTGCAATCATTTGTTTGACTATTTCTTTTTTTTTTGATGTATTGTTTTAAATAAATAAAAAAATTTAAAAAAAAAAAAAGAAGAAGTTACTGAAGAAACACCGAGATGACACATGGAATACATTGATGTATTATGTGTTTGTTTGTGTAAAAAATTTTTTAAAAAATTTACAAAAAAAAAAAAGAACAGTAGACAGAAAAGCATTAATTTATTCCATTTCCTTCCTCTTATAGTGTCCTATGGCATTCCAGGATGTGGCTATATATTTCACCCAAGATGAATGGGACCTTCTAAACGAGGAGCAAAGAATATTGTATTACACCGTCATGCGAGAAAATTCTGAGAACATAACCTCTTTAGGTAAGGTTTCCATTCCTGTAAGATCATGGAATCCTTTCTGAAGCTGTCAACTCCATTTTGTTTATATAATAGTCCTTGTGAGTTTTTATTATTTATTTATTAAGCCAATCTAATAGCCTGGGAGCAAATTACATTTTATTTGGGAATCTTTTATTTTATCTCTAAAGCAGACCGTTGTGTTAGATTGGACTGAGCAAGGTTCCCTGAGGTTTCCATGGCTTTTAGGGTGAACTTTAACCTGATTTTCCCCAAATCTAGCCCAGCATTTCAACTACACTACATTAGTAGACAATTCTAAGCTATTTGGTTTCTTGGTATTCTCTGAGCTTGGTTGTTCTCCCACAAATAACTCAGGTAACCTAGAGGTTCAGTATCATTTTGCACAATGCAGGAAGCAATACCAAAGAAACAATTAAGAAAGGAACAATGTTCTCATCAGGGCACTATCAAAAAAGAAATTAGATTCCAACTTGTCATCTATCTACCTTTATGAGGTATACCTATATTGGAATTTTGAGCTAGCTAATTTACCCAGCCTGTCCCTGGATAAGACACATTGTGTTAGTTAGCTATAAAGAAAATCAATAATCTTCCTTTTATTTTGTTGTGTTTCTTTCCCTTCCTCTAGAGCTTTTGATTTCAAAACCAGATCAGTCTCTCCAATCTGACTGGGACGAAGAGGCACAGAGGGCCTTCAAAGGGAAAGACTCTATTGAAGAAGTTGTGAACTGGGAGGACATAACTGTGGTCGGTGAGAAAGTCTTTCTGTAACAAAAGAATCCACCTATTTTAAGTCTTATTGGGCTAACATATGTTACTTTTTTTCCAAAGTCAAGCACTTTGAATCACCTTTCTCACATCCAGACACACAGCAGTTGGATGAGACAACATTGATCAGAATGTCCTTTAGTACATAGTTTAGCTCCTATGTTGGTGGCTTTTCCCGCCATTAACTTAACTGTTGCCCAGCTGATTTCATTACTTCCCTCTGTCAGGGACCTGGGTTGGCTATACAAAATCAGAGACGTGTTTCCGAGGGCTCAACATTAACCACTGAACCATTCCCATGGATGCCCTCAGCAGAATCGGGGGGGGGGGTGTCCATTCTGATTCAGTAGTCTTCTTTGCCCATTTTAATTGGCCCATTACAGCTGCCGTAACTCTAAGTCCCAGTAAATCTTAACTCCACCCAATAAGGTAGTCTCTTGGTGTCCACAAACCACAAAAAGTTGCACACACATTTGGACGCCTCACCAAAACTGTGACTTAGGTGCATCTGGTAATCAGTAGAAAAGATTTCAGAGAGCCCCATTGAGAGTATAGTGGCCACCAAAACATCCCAGGAGGACTTGAGTGTTCCCCTAAATAAACTCTAGCCAGTTCCAGCATGGCAATATATTGAATTAAAGCCTGAGAAAAACTGGTCTCCAGTCAAGGTAAAGACTGAATGACTTTTAGACATCTAATACTAGTCTTTTTTTTTTTCCCTGCATTGTTTCCAATATTTCCTCTGGCTTCACTTTTTTCCTTATTTTAGAATTGCCACCCCAATATCCATATGACTGCCTGCATAACGGTGAACCTGATGTGATCTTCCAGATCGGAAGAGATGGGATGATTCAGGAGTCTGAGGAAAGGAGTAATCTGAGGCATTCTTCTCCAGGTAAACTGTTAGGATTAGGGTTTGGGGTGTTGTTGTTTTTTTGAAGCCACCTGGGAAGGTGAGGATGGGAAGAAAGAAGAGGAGAGATGATTCTGTAAGACAGATCCAGGTTCCTTTTGAATGAGTAAAACATAAACCTTCGGGAACCAAACATTCTAAACAATGAAGAACTTTGTTTTCCTGAGGCCGGGCCTATCTGGCATTCCTGGGGGGCGGTGTGTGTGTGTTAGCCCAGCAGTTTTCCAGTGTTCTTCAAAACATTCCAGTGCCACAGCAGTTCATTTTTCCAATTTATTTTCCATCCTTGTTATTACTTCTGTATCTAGAATGTCAGAGGAAGTAAGGTCTTTAGTACTCTGTTAGTATATCAAATTGTGAGGAAGGTACTTTTATTTTTGATAGTTCCCTTCATGGCTTGGGACCAGGTTTTCTGAGGGACCGTCTTTTGCCAGTCACATCCACCCAACCAACTAGAGTGGGGAGGCAAGGTCCTGTCCCCTAAGGAGGTACATCTGGCGGGACCCAGAAGAAGGGCCTTCTCCGTGGTGGCTCCCTTCCTCTGGAACATTATCCCTCCAGATAGTAGACCAGACCCCACTCTGATGCTTTAGTAAGACCCTGGCCAGCATGCTTGGGGAATCCAGAGTGGGATGGAACCCATTAAATGGCTTAGTATGTGTGGTTGCTGAGGGGGAGTGTATTTTATTATTTTTATTATTTTTAATTCTTCTACATTGTGTTTTTATTTTCTGTAAGCTGCCTAGAGTCGCTGTGAGTAAGTAGGCGGCTACATAATTTTTCCAAAATAAATAAATAAATGAAAAGGGGTAATAAAAATAGGTGAAGAGAGAATGGTGGTTTAACTGAATTAGCCAAGCATTTCAGGCCAAATATTTAAAAACCTTACTGTGGGCCACTGCAAGCTGTTGTAAATGTGAGCCAGTTGCCAAGCAGCCAAAATATAATCACATGACTGTGGTGTAGTGGGGTATTTGTGTGCGTGCATCAGTTGTGACTACGAGGATAGGCCATTATTACATTTCTTGAAGTCTGTCATAAATTTGAACTGTCATTTAGTGACTGGTCATAGGTTGAGGACTACTGATAGTGAATTAAATAGCCTAGAAATCAAAATGTCATATGTCAGGCCTGAATCCAAATAATGGTATTTTTTCAATAATTAAGGAATGTGAAGGAATAATTCAAAGTTTGGTATTGAAACATAGTCCTTATTTTTGCCCTTTTCTTGCTTTGCTCCCCCACCCCCTTATTTACTTCTTTTGCCTCTGTCTTCAAAATTTTGTTTATATCTTTCTTGTTCTTGCAGAAAACCTGACTACCAGGAAGAAAAAACATCAAGAAGAATTTGGAGCAGAACAGCTTCAGGAGCCAACGCAATGGGATGTGTTCTTTGATCCCAATATTTCTGAACCAATGGAGGTCAAATCTAAAAGACAGCAAGGGCTATTCCTGGAGCTCATACAAGCTTCTAAGGCTGACAAGAAAATGCCCAGCAGTAGCTCCCAAGTAGGTTCTACTGTATCAAAAAGGAACTATCCTTGTTCGGAATGTGGGAGAAGTTTTGATCGCCGTTCTAACTTAATTAAACATCAGCGAATCCACACGGGAGAAAAGCCTTACCCTTGTATTGAATGTGGGAAATGCTTTGACCAGCAGTCCAATCTAAACGTCCATCTGAGAGTTCATACTGGAGAGAAACCATATGGCTGCCCCGATTGCGGCAAAAGGTTTAGTATCAAATCACATTTACATGGACACTATAGAATACACACGGGGGAGAAGCCTTATGAATGCGAAGACTGTGGGAAGAGCTTCCGTGTGAAATCTTCCCTAAATAAGCACCAGCGAACCCATACAGGAGCTGCCAAGCTCTCCAAACCACCTGATATCAAATCAGAGGGTCCCCGGGCAATATTGCCAGAAGTGACACGTGTTTATGCAGCTCCCAAATCAGAAAAAATAATTAAAATGATGAGTAGGAAGCCCCCTATAGAAATCACGGTGTCAAACAAGAATTTTTCTTGTTCCGAGTGTGGGAAAGGTTTTGATCGACCCTCACATCTCATCACGCACCAGAGGATCCACACCGGGGAAAAGCCATATCCATGTATTCAGTGCGGGAAACGTTTTCATCAGCAGTCTAACCTTAATGTCCATTTGCGTCTCCATACTGGAGAGAAGCCTTATGGCTGTCCTGAATGCGGCAAAAGATTCAACATCAAATCCCATCTACACGGACATTACAGGATCCACACAGGTGAGAAGCCATTCGAGTGTGAAGACTGTGGGAAGAGCTTCCGGGTGAAATCTTGTCTAAATAAGCACCAGCAAGTTCATACAGGAGAAAAGCAATATAAATGTCTCTGAGAAAAAAACCTGGAGTTCTAACCTAATTAAACCATCAGGTCATTTTGGAGACCTGTGCTCTAAACTTGGGGAAAAAGTAACTTTTGGAACAGATGAGACTTTATCAAACAAGAAAGAATTCACACAAGAGAAAATCCTTCCGTTTTCCTTCCGCAAGAAATAAGCATCTGAAAATCTACAGAGTCTTTGTGGGTGCCTAATCTGTGGGGAAATGTTCAGGAAGATAGTTTTAGCAGTGATTGGAAAGGGTTGGATTTGAACACACAACTGAGGCACTGATCATACCAGCACAAAAACAGGCACTTAGTACATGATCCATAGAAACAGGGGTCTACTATCTAGACAAATGCAGACTATGCAGAGAGGCCTCAGAGACAGTCCAACACGTGGTGTCTAGATACAACACATAGATGCAGGCAGAAACAGCACACTGAACAGCCCAACAAGATAACTGGCATTGTGTACAGGAATATATGCACAGTGTATGGGCTACAGCACGTCCAGATGGAAGATTCAACATAAAGTCATGGAAAATAATAGGACTAAGATCCTATGAGACTTCCAGATTGAGACAGATAGGCAGGTACTAGCCAATCAACCAGACATCATGGTAATAGACAAGGATAGAAGACAGCAATGGCGATAGATGTATTGGTACCAAATGACACCAATGTGGAAGGAGGAGTATAAAAAATTGGAGAAATTCCAGGGCCTGAAGGAGGATGTAGAGGAGATGTCGAAAGTCGAAGTGGTCCCAGTGGTGGGAGGAGTGCCTGTGGCTGTGACTCCTACGCTGGGATAATAGCTCCAACAGACCTCAGGAACAACACCAGAGCTCTGTTCAAAAGAGTGCAGGGGTTAGGAATAGTTAACCCTCAAACTCCCAGGCCTCCGGTAGAGGACCCAAGATTGAAGAAAACACATATCGCCATAGGGGTGAGAAGGGAATTTTTTAAAATGTACACTATAATTCATACGGTACAAGCTGTAATCATTCGAAATGCAACAATTGAGAAACGTTTCCATGGGGTGTTTTTTTTGGATGAGGCTATTCAGTGAATTCCCTAAGGAACAAAAGCAAATGTTTCTATGGGGGTCAGAGCAGGGGTGAAATGCAGCAGGTTCTGACAGGTTCTAGAGAACCGGTAGCGGAAATTTTGAGCAGTTCGGAGAACCGGTAGCAGAAATTTTGAGTAGTTTGGAGAACCGGCAAATACCACCTCTGGTGGGGTGGGAATGGAGATTTTGTAATATCCTTCCCCCAGGAGTGGGGAGAGAATGGGGATTTTGCAGTATCCTTCCCCTGGAATGGGGTGGGAATGGAGATTTTGCAGTATCCTTCCCCTGCCAGGCCCACCAAGCCACGCCCACAGAACCGGTAGTAAAAAAAAATTGGATTTCACCACTGGGTCAGAGGGAAGCTGTTTGTGTTTGGAACTTAAATGTCTTAAATTTAGAACAAATTGAAAGCTAGTTTGATATCGTGGCTTAGGTGCTGGTCTAGAAACCTGGAGACTGAGTTCTAGTCCCTCCTTTTCAACCCAACCAACCTCACAAGGTTATTAGGAAGAAAATAGGCAGAGGAAGGCATGTTGGCATAGCATGAAGTCCGGTGGTTCATTTCACCTGGTGCAATTTAGCTAATAACCACACAGAGGTGGGTGGGAATACATTAAGAACTTCGTTTCTACACAGAAGAGCTCACACTGGGATTAGCATCACAAAGCAAGCATCCTCTGCATGCTCCTCACAACAGATATTTATATACGCTACAGATTGCATCAATTTTGGATTGGTTGGAGCCATTTGCCTTATGACACCCCTTAACTTTTTTGGGTGGGTTCTTCCCTTTTTCTGGACAGATATCCTTAACAGCCTTAGGGGGTGCCTGGTGATTATGCTCATTTTCTCCCTAGAAAGTTCATGCAGCTTCTTCTAGTGTAGGGCAATTAGCTCATGGCTTTTATTGTTTTAGCTTTGACTTTGACTTTGACTTCCAACTCTTTAGCATAGTACAAGATAACATTACGGCCTCAACTTTTTACTTTTACATGTTAGTATGTAATTAGCCATTTATGTAACAAATCTACCTAATTGGCAAAGCTACTTGCAGACCCTTTGCCATAGGGAGGATCTTGTGGGGTGATTCTAGGACTCTCTCTAACCCAGGAAGTCATATAAACTGAAGGAATGCCAGTTCCTTCTGCTGGTAAATTGAAAAAAACTACAGTCCAGGGAAAAACCTCTCAGGGATCCTTCCCTGGGCATTTCGTCAGTTGGGTATTTTTTCCACTGGAAGTCAGTGTGTTGTGATTAGGAATATTTGGTATGTTGGTTCCCTTGAGTTATTTAAAAATAATGAAGATGGGATAAAAATAACTTTTTCATTCATGCCCCAAACTGATAGAAATTAACCTCCAGAGCCCTTAAATCCTCTGATTAAAAAGCCTTTTTATGATTGGCTTGAAGGAACTTAGTAAACAATAGTCATTCCATGTGAAGTATTGATGCCATGCTAGCTGGTTTTGATTTTCCTTGCAACAAGTGGCATTGCCTTCCAAGATAGTTTCAGGTTATACTGAGGTGCAGAACTACCTAAGTAATAGTTTTCTAAGAAAATCTCAATGGGGAAGAGAGAAACTTTAGGTTAACTCTGTTTATGGCTTCCTACACGTGCATAACTATTTTACTGAAGCTTGTCTGAAAATAACATGAGATGCTTCAGGAAAAAATGCCCTTGATCTGGTAGCTGTAAGGCAGATGTTTTTAAGGCTTGCCTTTCAAGGCCCGGTGGGAGTCAAAAACGGATTGGATGAAATATGCACAAGTTGGAAAAATAAAATTGTCAGATAAGGAATGTAGCTTTTATTTCATGATACTGCTTTCTTCAGAAACATCAGTTGAAAAAAGAAAGTGCTTTTCCTTCTCTTCCGAGTTTTCATTTCTGTTCTTCCATTTATACATCCAGATGACAGTGAAGGTTCACACAACATAAAACACCCTGGTTCACACAGCATACCGGAGTCATGAAGACTATGTTATGTGAACTCAAAAACTGGATTGATTGACCTCACCAATTAAGCCCTAAGAGAATTCATCCTTAAAACAATCCTAGTTTTCTGGAGATAAATTAGCCCATGTGTGAGTGCACACATGCACAATCTAAGTTGAATTATCTAGACAGCTGACCTAGAGGTTAAGTAATATCTCTGCCTTCAGTGGCCAGGTCTTTAAAAGTTTGCCCTACGGGTAGACCTCATATAATAACCATTAGTTCAGTGACCAACCATGGCACTGTCAGGCGCAAAAGACTGAGTCCACACATGAAGGCTCAATTAAAACAATTTATACAAGCTATACACAGAAATCTTCTCAATGAATGGTTAGCATCTGTTTGGAGTTAGTTAAAAGTCATCAGAATTCAGGGGTGGGGGATGGTTAAACTTAGTCCACTTTTGCTATGTAAAGATTCTAGGCTGGTCACTTTAACTGTCCCCAGCTCTTGCAATTGCTTCTCCTACAGGCACTGAACAAATGGTACTTATGCCCAGTCCCTGAATGTATGGGTGTAGCAGTTCCCCAGGGTCACACAATCAAAATTTTGGTGCTTGACAGCCTGTGCACACTTAAAACCATAGGGGTACTTCAACTTGAGCCTTGATAGTACAGTGGTCTAAGCACCCTGTTATTAACACAGCTGCCTGCAATTACTTGCTGGTTCGAATCTCTCCAAGGCTCAAGGTTGACTCAGCCTTCCATCCTTTCTAAGGTAGGTGAAATGAGGACCCAGTTTGTGGGGGCAATAAGCTGACTTTGTATAAATATACAAAAGTATGAAGGCTATTGCTTAACGCATTGTAAGCCGCCCTGAGTCTCCGGAGAAGGGCGGCATATAAATCAAATTTTTAAAACAAACCTCTTTTTGCTCGCTTATTCTCATCATCTCTGCCCTTTGGCTGCTCTGCACAGTGGCACTCTTGTGGTTTCTTCCCACTGCTCACAAGGTGTGCCCTATGTAAGGCAGCTACTGCCTATGGCAGTCCTTTTTCATGAGGCTTCAGACGCTGTTCTTCAAAGTGTCAAGAATGGGGCAAACAATTTGGAAAACTACAGCCTCAGGAAAAATTGTAACAGTAATGGCAGTAAGTAACACTGACTCTGCCTCCTTTGTTAAATCACTTTGCCTTTAATAATCCTTGATTATAATATTTTTCTGGCTTTCTCTCGCAGTTGCTGAATGTTCCTCTGAGCAACCTGACCAAAGGCTTACAACATTCCTTTGCATTAGGATATATTCAGTTAGGCTTTTCGAGCCTACTACGTTTCTGCATCAACCTTCTTTAATGATATCTAGAACATCACAGTGTGTTTTCTTCCATACAGTAACTCAAAAGGAGTTGAATATTGTGGAAACCTGGGAATTTCCCTGTATGCAAACTTATCAGCCACATATCTGCATATTGATATTTTAGTAGTGCTGATTGGAAATTGGTCCCTTTGATCCATTGGGATCTCATTTGGTATGCCTACAGCACTGAAGATCTTGAGACCAACTCCTCTGCTATTTGCTTGGCAATCACATTCCTTAATGGACCAACTTCATGGTACCGAGTGGTGTAGTCACAGACAACCAGGATACCACTCATTGTCTTTACTAGATTGTGGCAAAGGGTCTACAATATCCATGGCTACTTTAGGGGCTAAAGGAAATAGGGGCTAAAATGTACCCTTTTCCATAGGTACGTTGTTCTGTTCTCTTTTTAGCTTTACCAACTGACACACAGGGCAGGTCTTGCAATACCATCACACCACAGATCCCTGGCCAATGCCACCTTATCCAAAATTCTATATCCATCCCTATTCCTACCCATGGAGGACCATGGACCATGGAGTTTCATGGGCTAGCTCCAACATTGCTTTGCGATATCCCTGAGTAGCTACTATTCGTTAATTTTGTTCCTTTGTATAGGGATGAAGCCTTATTCATTACAACTCTTCTTTTTGCTGAAATCTGAATGTTGTGTCCTTGTTTCCCTCCTTTTCTGTTGCTACCCAACCATGTTTTAGGGTTTGTTGGCTCTTTCTTTTGCAAGGGTCCCAGGTGAATTTCCCATTTAGGAGTCTCTATCCCTATAGGTTTACCTCTAAAGCTTTGTTTTTCCTAGAACATCTCACTTCTCCTATTAAGTCAAGATAGTTAGGAAGAATCCCGGGTTCCTTCCCTTCCCATTTCAAGCTGCATTCTCTCATCTTCAACTGATCCCTTGTAGTTACTCCCACTATCTTAGTTTCTTTCTTGACTCCTTTTCTTCAGGTCCAATCTTCAGTAAATGGAAAGTCTGTTTTCATTAGGTTATGTGGCATATTAGGGATTACGCCTACAATTTTTTGTATGTTCCTTTCCCTGTGCCTGTTCTTTGGCTTTAACCAACATGGCTATCTCAGTCTGCTAAAACACTTTTATAAGATGCTTTTTCTCCATAAATCCTACCTTTTTGTTATTAAATGAGGATGCAACAAGGTTTGTCTACTCCCCAGTATCTACTAAACTTTTCACACTGGCCCCATTATTTTTTGTTGAGATCCTAATTTTTCTTCTCCCAGAAACACTTGTACTATCGCAGTCATTCTCTTTTTTTTTTCCCCCTCTGGCTTTTACGGACTTTGGATAAATGGCCATTTTCCCCACAGGTGTTAACAGCTACGGGTCTCTGACCTCCCAATGCTTTCCCTTTGATTTGGGTAAGAGCTAAAGGCTTCTTTCTCCTTTTACCTTTCTCTCTTCCATCTCCTTAAAGTTCTTATTTTCTGGAACAAGCTTTCTTATTCTCCTTCCTCTGCACCTTCCTTTCTAATATCCTCAGATTTCTACCCTGCCATATTTTCCTCAGCTAGTTCAACATTCCTTTGATCTGACTCAGTTGCGTTCCTGCAACCAAGACCTCAGTATGGTAGAAAGTATACGTGGAAACTGTACTAAAATTACTTCCTCTACCACTTTTTCCTTGTTTCTTTCATCTGGCCTCAACCACTTTCCTGCCCAGGTCTTCCCACCTTGACAGCAATTCACAAATCCCTTCATGTTTGTTGTAGGTGTAGCTCCTAAAACTCTGCCTATAGGTGTAGGGAGTGGCATATCTGTGTAAAATTGCTTCTTTAACTTGAGAGTAATCCACTACTTCTCATGCTGGAAAACTACTATAAGGTCTCAAAGCCTTTCCTATTAAACAGGGGGCTAGTCTGGCCACTCCATTCACTCTCAGGCCACTTGCAAGAGGTAGCCATTCTTTCAAACATTTTAAAATAGTCTTATGTATTCCTCTCACAACTTGCGCATTGTGGTGTCTTTGGGACCACCTCCATACTCTATGCCTTCTGAAAGTTGAATATACTCCTTCTGGTTACTGTATTTCATATAGTAGATAACCAGCCCTTAAAACTCTTCTTTTATTTCCTTTTTACTCCTTTCTCAATTCCAGGCAATCTTTCCTCTCCCCGCTCAACCCCAGAGCAACTCTTCCTCTAATTGCAGCCTTTCCTCTTGTTACAGCCTTATCAGTTACCACTAATTTAGGCTAGACTCCCATTTTTAACTAAGTTGGTAGCCTCCTCTAAGGGAGAAGCCGTCCCTCCTTTTTCCATGTTGGTACGTTTGGTGTAAGCTCTGGTACAAGGTTTGCTTTCCTCAGCCAGGATTGTTGGCTAATTTCTACAAGGTCTGGGCTTTGCAAGGACCAAGCTCTCTCCTTTTTACAGCCCCCTTTTCAACCAAGGCTTGTTTTTTTCATAGAATGCACTAAACTGCTTGAGTTTAAGCCACCTCTACCTGTGTGGCTGCCCCTTTGTATTGGATATTCCCTTTTTTTGGATATCCACCTTGCTTTATGGATATCCCATTTCATGAATATCCTACTGGCACCGTTTTGTCAAAAGGGTTCTTTTACATATACCCAAATCAATGGGTTGCAAAAAATGCCAGAAAGCCAACACAACCCTACCTAGACATACACCCACAAGCACTTAAAGGTTGCTACTCACTGTTTACTACCTTTTCCCAATTCTACTACAACTCCCATTTCTCCACTAGCTTTGTTAATCCTACTTCTGGAGAAGAGTAACTCTCCCCACAGGCTGCTTCATGCCGTTTTAGATTCCCAAACAAACACAAACCACTTTTCCCCTCTCTCACTCCCACACCACCACGCCAATACGCTACAGGCAGCTGCCTCTCTGCTCAGCTTTTATAGCCATAATTGCTGGGCTGACTAGGGAGAGGTCTTAAAGGGACAGGGCACCAGCAGCCCAAATGCTGACTATTTTGCAAGCAGCTGCTCTTCTCACATTCAGCAAACGCACAAGCTGTGATCTGGTGAAATATTTATTTGTTTGTTTGTCTGTTTGTCAAGAACATATTTGGTAATAAGTATAAGCATGGATTGGATACGTAAAATAGATACAAATAGAAGAAATATTAGGACAGGGACGGTAGGCACTCTGGTGCTCTTATGCACGCCCCTTACAGACCTCTTAGGAATGGGGTGAGGTCAACAGTAGACACCTAGGTTAACATTTTGGGGGTTTGGGGATGAAACCAGAGTCAGGTAGTGCATTCCAGGCATTGACCACTCTGTTGCTGAAGTCATATTTTCTGCAATCGAGTTTGGTACGGTTTACCTTAAGTTTGTATCTATTGGGTGCTCCTGTATTGTTGTGGGTTGAAACTGAAGTAATCATTGACCGGTAGGACATTGTAGCAGATAATTTTATGAGCTATGCTTAGGTCATACCGAAGGCGGCGTAGTTAGTTCTAAGTTTTCTAAGCCCAGAATTTCAAGTCTGGTGGCATAAGGTATTTTGTTGCGAGCAGAGGAGTGGAGGACTCTTCTTGTGAAATATTTCTGGACACGTTCAATTGTATTAATGTCCGATATGCAGTGCGGGTTCCAGACAGATGAGCTGTATTCGGGAATTGGTGGGCAAAATTAGGCAAGAATTGGGATTATATTCATTAAAAGGCATAAAACTTTCCAGAGCCCTAGAAATGATCCTGAGAACAATTAGCATAAGGGGTCTCTTAAGGAAGTGGCCCTTGGTTATTCCTTTTTTTTTAAAATAATCTTTATTTACATTTTACCATTAAAAAACAACAAGAGAACGACATAATATATAAATAACAAACAAAACATACAAAACAAGACAACAAAAACCTACAATGCTAGCATATCTATAAACAGTACCTTGATAACCTAGTACTCGGCACTGTATATCTATATTATAATCTGGAGAAGACAGAGCATCTTAGACTGTGCGGAAGCAGATAAATTGACCAAAAAATTACAAGATAGAGATCAAACACAAGTATGTTTATCCTGGGAAAAATTTTATAAATGGCTTGAGAAAAGGAAAATATAACCCAAATTAGAAGAGGAACTATATGTATTGAGAAACTTATATTATACGAGTAAAGTGAGGTCGGATAGACCTAATTGTTTTATAAAGATATGTAAGATGCTCTGCCCTTGGTTATTCCAATTTCAGCCTGTTCTGTAAATCATGGCATAATATAGATGGAAAGCAGCTGCCAAGCGATCCTTCCTTTATTCCACACCAAAAAGAAACAATTTGGTGAATGGACACTTCCTCCCTGAAACTCAGGGTGCTCTAAGCCAGAGGTGTCCACAGGATGCATTCATCCGAATGACCAAAACAGCATTGCACCCTAAGCTCTGCTCTTTTTTTAGATGGTGACTCCCAACAATGGAACAGGAGGAGACGGGATGATGCTTGGATGGGATCCCTGCTGTGCATCTGCCTTCATATGACACACACAAAACCACTGACCAGTGCCTCCATGCCAGCGTTTCTTCAATCTTAGTAAAACTATCACATATGTAGACTTCAACTCCCAGAATTTTTAAAAAGTTGCCAAGGTTGAGAAACGCCACTCTGTGTGCCAAGCCAATAAGGACCTCTTGCCCACTGAAAGATGATGGGTGGAAAGCAGTTTACTATATCTAAAACAGGTACAAATTAGGAAACTTTTCTTTCCTCTGCCCACGAGAGGGCTCTCGGGTTTTTCTTTGCTAGTCCTGAACTACCAGCTAGCTTTTTTTCCCTCTTCGCTGTGAACGGCATGAGAGATTTCTGTTTTGTTTTCCGGGTTATTGGGAAGTTGCTGAGATTGATTCGCTCCATGGCCGTCCTGTTTCAGTGGAAAGAGATCTAGAAGAGAAAAAAAACTCTTCTTTTTGGGGGGGGCTTAACCCCCAAGGAAGAATTATTTTCCTTCTCTAGATATTCGGCTAAAAAGGCTTCTTGACACAAGGCTGAATCTGAGCAGGTAGAAAACGGGGTGTGGTGGGGTGTCCCCATCCTTCCGTCTGCCCATCCACCCGCCTGCAGGTCCATCTTTGTGCAGTCGTTCATAGCCTCGCGGGGTCTCTTCTCAGCAGCAGAGAAATTGGCCAGGTTGAAGGGCAGTCAGAAAAGAGGAGGCGGAAAGAGGATTGAGATGGAGGGATTGACAAGCACAACAGAGTCCCCCCCCCCTCCAACATGCAAAGGGAAGAGCTGGATGAAGATTTATTTCTGAGTATATGGGGAGGGGGGGAGGGAAAGAGAAATTTCTGCGATGCAAAATCGGTCTCTTCTCTATGCAGAGAAAATCTGAAAAGCAGATGATCTCCAGGCAGGATTGGATGGCAATCAACCAGGTCCTCTTATTTACAGGGCAAACCATTGTTAGTAGAATTAGAAGCAGATTGTGGTGATGTTTCTGTGTGGAGAGCAGAGGTGGGTTTCAGCAGGTTCTGACCAGTTCTGGAGAACCGGTAGCGGAAATTTTGAGTAGTTCGGAGAACCAGTAGTAAAAATTCTGACTGGCCCCCGCCTCGACTTATTCTCTGCCTCCTGAGTCCCAGCTGATCCAGAGGAAATGGGGATTTTGCAGTAACCTTTCCCAGGAGTGGGGTGGGAATGGAGATTTTACAGTATCCTTCCCCTGGAGTAGAGTGGGAATGGAGATTTTACAGTATCCTTCCCCTGCCACGCCCACCAAGCCACCCTCACCAAGCCATGCCACGCCCACCAAGCCACACCCACAGAACCGGTAGTAAAAAATTTTGAAACCCACCACTGGTGGAGCGGGGAAGAATAGCCAAAGAAGCCAGTGTGTGTGTGTCTGTGTGTTTGTGTGTTTCTCTCTGACCACTCCACTATGTCACTTACGAAGTATGTGGTTTTGGTTTGAGCTCCGAGCTTGGCAATTTAGTTGCAAACGTTTCGTTACCATTCGAGGAGACATCGTCGGTGTGTTTTGAAATGTCAAAACAATTCAAAACGCACCGACAACGTCTCCTCGGATGTGACTTGAAATGTTTGCAACCAAATTGCCAAGCTCGGAGCTCAAACCAACAGCCTAACTACCAACCCGAGCTACTAATATTCAAACACATTTCAACTTTTGAAGTGTTTTACATGCCTTGTGCCTGGCTTTTGCTGTTCTGGGATGCAGTTTTTCATTCCCTTTGCTATTTTTGTTTTCAGTATGGTTCACTGCCCAATAAGTGAGATGTATTTTCCTTTTCTCCTAAAACTAGTTGCAAGATTTCTTTGAGATGGACCCCCATACGTTTCGCCTTTCCCAAGTCCCAGTAGAGGAAGCAATTTCTTGGGCTCCAGTGAATCTACTGGGTGGCTGGTATAGAAGAAGATCTGCTTGGTCAACATCCATGAAAGATCCAGAAGCCCATCGCTTTGGGAAAGAGGACCCAATTGGCATCCCTGAGGAGGTCAAGGTGGATGTGGATGCCCTGCTGAAAGACATTGAGGAGCACAACAGGCAGAGGTTTCGTTCCGATGCTCTTCCTTTGGGAGAACGTCCCTGGCAGACTCTGTTCCAGGTGGGAGAGGCTGCTCAGAGATGGCTGAGACCACAGGATCGCACTAAAGGACAGATTGTGGATGTGGTCATCTTGGAGCAGTTTCTGCATGTGCTTCCTTTGGGAATGCAGGCTTGGGTGAGAGCCAGGAAGCCAAGTACCAGCCAGGAGGCAGCTCAGCTGGCTGAAGCTTACCTGGAGCAACAGGTATCCTTGCTAATAAGAAAGGGACACACACACACACACACCAATTCTTGATCTAATGCTAGGACTGTTGCTGTTCCTCTGACCACAAGCACTGACTAAAACAAGAAGGGTTCTCCGGTGGACTGGATTCTGAACCCACCTGAAATTTTCCTGCAATAGGTTATAAATGGAGTGGGCAGTAGAAAGAGGGAAGGCTAAAAATTTCATCCCTCTTGATAACAACTCTTAGCTTTCTAGGAAAGCCTGTTCTTACTTGGAGATCTACAGATCTAAAATATAAGTCAATATCTTGGTTCACATCCTGCTGATTTACAAACTCTGGGTTGGTATCCCAGATTCAATAACATCTTATAGCCATACCATATTATGATTCAACCCGTGACCTGTTAAATAAGTCACTGACTGGGCTGCTATAGCTAAATGGAATGGTCAGTAGTCCAGGGGGAAAATCCAACAGGTTCTGACAGGTTCTGGAGAACCTGTAGCGGAAATTTGAGCAGTTCGGAGAACCAGTAGCGGAAATTTTGAGTAGTTCAGAAAACCGGCAAATACCACCTCTGGCTGGTCCCAGAGTGGGGTGGGAAGGGAGATTTTGCAATATCGTTCCCCCAAGAGTGGGGAGGGAATGGGGATTTTGCAGTATGCTTCCCCTGGAGTGGGATGGAAATGGATATTTTGAAGTGTCCTTCCCTGCCACACCCGCCACACCACGCCCACCAAGCCACGCCCACAGAACCAGTAGTAAAAAAAAATGGATTTCACCACTGCAGTAGTCATTGGAAAAGTAGACAGATCAAATGCATTAATCTATTCAATTTTCTTCCTCTTCTAGTGGCCTGTGGCTTTTGAGGAAGTGGCTGTATACTTCACCCCAGAGGAGTGGGACCTTCTGGATGAGGAACAAAGAATTTTGTATTACACAGTCATGCAAGAGAATTCTGAGAACGTGACCTCCTTAGGTAAGGTTCCCGTTCCTGTAAGGCCATACAAACCTTCCTGAATGTGTCAGTCCCAAACAAAGAATCAGCCTAGGTGTAACAGGCAAATTGCGTGTTTTTGTAAAGTCATCTTCCTTACTTTTAAGGTTTTTAGGAAAGCTCTGTTGAACCCTCTCCATATCCCCAAGGGCTGTTCCTGCCTCATGCTACATAGTCTACATGAAACTCATCATATTTCTGAAAATTAAGACTTGCCATTGACTACCCAACATTGGCCAAGGAGGCAAGCAGTTGAAATCTATAATGCTCTGGACTATCTCTACCAACAATGGCTTGAAATATTAGCATAGGTTGATCAGAAAGAGGTGGATCAGTGATGGTATTCTACCAGTTCGCACCGGTTCTGACGAACCGTTAGCTCCGACTTTCAGCTGTGAGCAAACCGGTTCGGTCCGATTTTGAAGTGGGCCCGTCCGCCTGCCTGCCCCTGTGTTATATTTCCGTTTTCCGAAGCCCAGCTGATTGGCGTAGCAGAGTGGATTTCTGTGCCTCAGCTGTTTTCCTTGCCAACAGCAGTGCGGCAGGTGAGTTTTCTGCAAACTGTGCAAGCGTGCGTAGCGAACTGGTTGTTAAACCGATAGGATCCCACCCCTCAGATGGATGTCTGGAACACAAATAAAATTTGCCATTGTTGCACAAATAAAAGCATCCTTGACTTATAACTACAGGGGTGCTTGGGATTTTGGTAAGTCATTGCACTTGTAAATAAAGGCACCACATGATTAAACTTTGTCAAGTAAGTCACTTTAGTTGTTAAGCAAATCATGTGGTTTTTAAGCAAATAGTGTCATCATTAAACATCATTAAAGTGTGTACCTGCAGCAGTTATAACTTTAAGGGCGATTCATTACCTTTCTTGAAGTCTGTCATAACTGTTGTTAAAGAGCCAGTCATAAATTGAGGACTACCTGTAATAATGGATTAAATATCCCAGAAATGAAAATGTCTGTTGTATCACATTTCATGCTTAATTTCAAATAGTGGTATTTGTTCCATAGTGAATGCTAAGGAATATGTCTAAGATTTACATCATGGCATGGGCCCGGGGTACTTGCAAGACCACCTCCTACTGGCCTCCCACTGCCCAGTGCGCTCACATAGGACTGCCCTGCTCCAGGTGCCGTCGGCCAGACAATGTCGGCTGGCGGCCCCCAGGATGAGGGCATTCTCTGTGGTCGCACCGACCCTCTGGAATGGGTTATCCACCGGGCTCCGGACGGCCCCCGACGTCCGCACTTTCTGCACTTACCTGAAGACATGGCTTTTTCAGCAAATTCCCTGATCTGCCACGAGGTTTTAATTGTCTGGGGATTTTAAATTGGCTTGTTTTAGCACTATTTTATTGTTATGCTGTTTCTATTCTGTGAGCCGCCCCGAGTCCTACGGGAGAAGGGCGGCATATAAATTTGATAAAATAAATAAATAAATAAGATTTGAGGAAAGGAAACCTGGCTTCAGTTAGATCCTTGAAGAAGGCCATAGGTTTATTCATCTCCAGTTAAAAAGTGTTCAGCAGCTGAGAATAGCATAGTCCTCTTTAGGAGAATCTGAGATGCCTTCTAACCAATTAAGGTATTTTCTAATTTGTGTGTTCTTAGATTTCTATCATAGGTTACTCGGGAACCTGTTTTGTCCCTACAACAAAAATAATCCTGTGTGGTAGATTCAGCTGAGAGACAAGGACAAATGCAAGGTTTCCTGAAGTTTCCATAGCTTGGGGTGGACTTTAACGTGATTCTTCCCAAATCTAGTCCAACACTTCAACCATACTATTGGATACAGTGGTGGGTTTCAACTGTTGTTACCACCAGTTCGCTTCGCGCACGCGATTTACCGAACTTGTGCTCAGGTCTTTTTGCATTGGAATTCTGAGGTAAATAATTACCCAGCCTTGCCCAGGATAATACACTTTATCGTTAGATAGCTATAAAGAAAATCAATAATCTTCCTCTCTTTTGTTGTGTTTCTTTTCCTTGCTCTAGAGCTTTTGGTTTCCAAACCAGATCCAAGACTCCAGACGGTGTGGGAAGAAGGATTACAAATGGCTGATCTCCAGATATTCAAAGAAAAAGACTCTATTGTTAAAGGAATTGTGAATTGGGAGGACATAACGGTGGTTGGTGAGAAGGCCTTTCTTTCTCTGACAAAAAAACCCTTTTATATGCTTTATTGGGTTATATAATTTACTTTTATTTACAATTTACTGGCTAGGTGGCTCAGTGGCTAAGACGCTGAGCTTGTCGATCAGAAAGGTCGGCAGTTCGGCGGTTCAAATCCCTAGTATAGGTCTCCTGCATGAGCAGGGGGTTGGATTAGATGACCTCCAAGGTCCCTTCCAACTCTGTTACTGTTATACCTCTCCTGTCTGCCACCCAGACTCAAGTCAGTTGGAATATACAACATCTAATTAATCAGAATGTCTACCGTGTTAGATTGTATTCCTTTAGTACCTGGGTTTTAACTCATGTGCAGGATGACATATTCCTTTCCTTTCCTTAACATACCGTATTTTTCGGAGTATAAGACACACCTTTTTCCCCCCTAAAAGGGGGTGAAAATTTAGGTGTGTCTTATACACCGAATGTAGCCCTGCCCACCCACTGGCCCCCACCCTTTGGCCTCTGCCTCGCAGCAGTTACCTCCTTGCAAGGAAACAGCAAGAAAAAACAGCTCCTTTCAGCTTCAGCACAGCCTAATTAGCACAAGTTGATTGGATGGCCTCCCAAGTCTCAGCTGATTTACTCTCAGCTGTTTTGTGCAGGGCTCTGCTGCTTGCTACAAAGAGGTAAATTTCTGGAGCAGATTTTTTTCCCCTTGTGCTAATCAAGCTATGCTGAAAACGAAACTGAAAGTAAAGCAGGCTGTTTGCTGTATGTTGCAGCAGGGGCAAAATTACTCAAAGGCAGAGGGAGATTTCTTTTTCTTCTTTTCCTTACCAAAAAAGGTAGGTTCATCTTATACTCAGGTGCGTCTTATACTCCCAAAAATATGGTAGTTGTAACTGTTACCTTGCCGATTTCATTACCTCCCACTGACAAGCAGCTGGCTTGGCTGTAGGATATCAGAGATGTGTTTCTGAGGGCTCATGTTAACCACTCAGCCACTCCAGTGGATGCCCTCAGCAGAATGGGGGACATTCAGTAAGAGCCCTTCCAATTCATCAGCCCTCCTGCCATCAAAGCCTGTTTTAATTGGCCCCTGCTACTGCAGTAGCTCTAAATTCCACTAAGTCTAAGCCACATCCAATAGTGTTGTTTCGTTGTGTCTGCAAAGCCACAGAAAGTTCCACATATTTGGATCACCAAAAATGTTATTGAGGTGTACCTGGTAATCAGTGGGACAAGATCTTAAGTGGAGACACCCATTGAGAGTATGATGGACAGCACAACAACCAAGGAGGACTTGGGTGTTGTCCCTAAATCAACCCTAGCTAGTTCCAACATGGTAATATGTTGAATTATAGCCTGCCAAAAACCACCTGAGTGGTTACTACTCAAGGTAAAGCTTAAGATCTTGATGGCTTTGAGACAGTTTAAAAAACTGTCTATTTTCCTGCATTAGTTTTGATGTTTTCTCTGGTTTCACTTCTTTCCTTAATTCAGAATTGCCAACCCAATATCCATATGAGACTTTCCATAATGGTAAATCTGACACGGCCTTCCATATGAGAGGAGATGGAACAATTCAGAAGTCTGAGGAAAAGAGTAATCTGAGGCATTCTTTTCCAGGTGAGATGTTAGAGCAACTCTTTTTTTGAAACAAACCTGTGAAGGTGCAGGTTCCAGGAAAGAAGAGGAAAGATGGTCCAGCTTCCTTCTACGTTATGAATGAGCAAAACATAAACCTTCTGGGAACAGATCATTTATCCGTGGTGGCGCAGTGGTTAGAATGCAGTACTGCAGGCTACTTCTGCTGATTGCCGGCTGCCAGGAGTTCGGCAGTTCAATTCTCACCGGCTCAAAGTTGACTCAGCCTTCTATTCTTCCGAGGTCGGTAAAATGAGGGCCCAGATTGTTGGGGGCAATATGCTGGCTCTGTACACCGTTTAAAAAGGGCTATAAAGCACTGTGAAGCAGTATATAAATCTAGGTGCTATTGCTATTATCAAAATTCCTGAAAGGAATGTTTCTCTATTAGACAGTTGATGGGATTCTTACCCCAATAGCCTGCTTATCAGATCCTTGTCCTACTTCATTGATTAAAGACACCTGGGAGGTGACATACATTTAAGTCCATGAAGTGCTTTAACTTACTTCAGGGAGGAGGTAGTACATGCCATTCTGAAGATGTCATCTCTGGACTGAACTCTTCTGGATCATTTTCATTCAATCTCCAACCTCCTTTTTTTGAGAAAGTTGTTGGTTGCACCTGAAGAAGCACTGATCATGCTAGTGGAAGCTAATCAGGCTTCAATGGGGAGAAACTGTTTTAAGCTCAGCCTTAGCAAAACTGAGTAGTTGTGAGTTTTTCAACCACCTGTAGTTCCGGCTTTGTCATTACAAGTCCTCCCACAAGTGAATGGACACACCCTTCAGAACTTCCTAGGAGATACTTTGAACCAGGGGTGAAATCCAGTAGGTTCTGACAGATTCTAAAGAACCGGTAGTGGAAATTTTGAGTAGTTCGGAGAACCGGCAAATACCACCTCTGGCTGGCCCCGGGGTGGGGTGGGAATGGAGATTTTGCAATATTCTTCCCCCAGGAGTGGGGAGGAATTGGGGATTTTGCAGTATCCTTCCCCTGGAGTGGGGTGGGAATGGAGATTTTGCAGTATCCTTCCCCTGCCACACCCAAGAACCGGTACTAAAAAAATTTGGATTTCACCACTGCTTTGAACCATTATTGACCATCATTTCCTATTCTTATCTCTTAGATATTTTGGAACTATAGTTGTCAACTTCTCATGCACCCAAGGCCACTGGTCTGGAGTGAGCTGGAAAGTCAAGTTAGGAAAAGTTATTTCCTTTCATATGTTGGCAGCTTCTGCAGACCTTGCTCATTTTTTTAATGGTTGCCAGAAAAATTATCTGTGCCAATGTCATTTGTTGTCCTTATGTTGCCAGCAAGCATAATTTTGCATCACAGATTAACTATCAGAATCTTCCTATTGTATTTTTGCCCTTTTCTTGCTTTACTCCCCCACCCCCTTATTTACTTCTTTTGCCTCTGTCTTCAAAACTTTGTTTATATCTTTCTTGTTCTTGCAGAAAGCCTGACTACCAGGGGAAAAAAACATCAAGAAGAATTTGAAGCAGAACGACTTCAGGAGCCAACGCAATGGGATGTGTTCTTTGATCCCAAAATTTCTAAACCAATGGAGGTCAAATCTAAAAGACAGCAAGGGCTATTCCTGGAACTCATACAAACTTCTAAGGCTGACAAGAAAATGCCCAGCAGTAGCTCCCAAGTAGGTTCTACTGTATCAAAAAGGAACTATCCTTGTTCGGAATGTGGGAGAAGTTTTGATCGCCGTTCCAATTTAATTAAACATCAGAGAATCCACACGGGAGAAAAGCCTTACCCTTGTACTGAATGTGGGAAATGCTTTGACCAGCAGTCCAATCTAAACGTCCATCTGAGAGTTCATACTGGAGAGAAACCATATGGCTGCCCCGATTGTGGCAAAAGGTTTAGTATCAAATCACATTTACATGGACACTATAGAATACACACAGGGGAGAAGCCTTATGAATGCGAAGACTGTGGGAAGAGCTTCCGTGTGAAATCTTCCCTAAATAAGCACCAGCGAACCCATACAGGAGCTGCCAAGCTCTCCAAACCATCCGAGATCAAATCAGAGGGTCCCCAGGCAATAATGCCAGAAGTGACACGTGTTTATGCAGCTCCCAAATCAGAAAAAATAATTAAAATTATGAGTAGGAAGCCCCCTATAGAAATCACGGTGTCAAACAAGAATTTTTCCTGTTCCGAGTGTGGGAAAGGCTTTGATCGGCCTTCACATCTCATCACACACCAGAGGATCCACACTGGGGAAAAGCCATATCTATGTATTCAGTGTGGGAAACGTTTTCATCAGCAGTCTAACCTTAATGTCCATTTGCGTCTCCATACTGGAGAGAAGCCTTATGGCTGTCCTGAATGCGGCAAAAGATTCAACATCAAATCCCATCTACATGGACATTACAGGATCCACACAGGTGAGAAGCCATTCGAGTGTGAAGATTGTGGGAAGAGCTTCAGGGTGAAATCTTGTCTAAATAAGCACCAGCAAATCCATACAGGAGAAAAGCCATATAAATGTCTCTCCTGAGAAGAAAATCTGACCTAATTATACACAGCTCACTCACTCTGGGGAGAAAAATTGCCTATGATCTGAACTTGGGAAAATAACTTTTGCAACAGATAAAATCTTATTAAGCATGAAAGAATTCACACAGGACAAAATCCTTGCCTATGTTCCTTTTGGACAAAATAAATAAATCCATAAATCCATACGGAAGACAGGTATTGGGGGGGCCTATCTGTGGGATAATGTTCAGGAATGATTCACAGCAGAACACACAGAGACACATATACATACACTATATATTTAGTTATATGGTTATTTTTCAGTGAATTCCCTAAGGAACTCAACTCTTGCAAATGCTTTTATTGAATCAGAGGGAAGCAGTGTGCATTTGGAACTTAAATATTTTGCCCTGAGACCATGGAAATGACCAACTTATACTGTCCTGAAGTCCCTTGTTATTTAAAATGCCTTCTTTAGGGCTGGCCAAAGGAAATTAGTAAACAGCAGATATTCCATATGAAGAGGTTTATGCCAGGCTGGTTGGCTTCAATTTTCCTAGGAACGTGGCATTACCTTCCAGCTAGGTAGTTCTGCACCTCATTGTAACCTGAAACTTAGTAAGAGCTATTAATATTCTTTAAGAAATCAATTTGGACTATTAGAAATCCTTTAAGTTAATTACATATTTTGTTTCCACTCATGCATGGGTATTTCACTGAAGCTTGTTTGGAAACGACATGAGGTGCTTCAGAAAAATATGTCCTCGATCTGGTAACTATAAGGCAGAAGCGTTTACTGTAAGACTTGTTTTTCAAACCTAGTGGGACTCAAAAGGGGTTGATGAAATGTGCAGAGGTTGGAAAAATGGAACATTAGCATATAAAGTATGTACCTTCCATGTCATGATACTGCTTTCTTCAGAAATATCATTTGAAAAAAGAAAGTGCTTTTCTTTCTTGAGTTTCTTTCATTTCTGTTCCAGTCCATTTATGCACCTAATGACTGTAACACCCTGGTTTGCACAACATAGTTAACTAAGTCATGAAGGGTTGTGTGTTATGTGAACAGAACAAATAAGTTGATTGACCCCATAAGAGACTTCATTTTCAAGCCAAATTGCCCTAGGTTTCTGGACATAAAGTAGCCTGTGCACAAGAGTGTGTGCTTGCACAAACACACACACACATACACAAGCTGTATTGCCTAAACAGATGACCTGGAAGTTAAGTAATACTGTAACTCTGCCTTTCATGCAAAATCTTAGAATTGAAATGAACATTCTATGCATTCCATCTTTGTGGCTCTTGGCTTTCACTATGAGAGCCACACAGAAGTGAAAAGGGGGAGAACTTAGTGGATAAATGGTCCAAGCCCCTAATGTTGTCCATAGTGGATTGGGGATGATTATGCCAGAGCAGGATCTCCCCTCCATCAAAACAGAAGTCCTGGAAGTCCTGTCTTCTCTGCCTTTTTGGCAGCAAGTAAGAGGACTGTTGGTGTAACTGTTAGACAGTTGGTGTGGCCCCAATGGTACATGAAAAGGTGGTAGGTAATTGGGTGAGATGCCAATCAGCAGGATTGTATGAAAATGGACCCCAGGTCCTACCAACCTTTATGCAATTGCGGCATGCTTGTCTTTGTAATAATCCAGTGGGGAGTATCCACAATTATTTCTATTTTCTTGTTCTACAGCATTTGTCAGTGTAACTCTGCTTTTTCATTCTTATTTTTTTAATGACAACTTTTCAAGATCAGATAAAGTTATAAGAAACAACTTGCCCAAGAATAATCAACTGCCATTTTTTTTAATGCCTAACAAAGCCAGTTAAATCTGGGTTTCCCACTCATCATCTGCAAATATTGTGGGTCTCTGATGTGGAATAAAGACCCATTAAGATATCTCTTGTCCTGAAAGAAGATCTTTTTGCCATACAAGTAGTCCTTATTTAACCATCTTTCATTCAGTGACCCTTCAAAGTTACAGCACCATTGAACAAATGGTACTTGAATCCAGTCCCTGAAGTTATGTCTTCTGCAACAACCCCATGGTCACTTGATGAAAATTTGGGCACTTGGCAGCCCACCTACACTTAGGACTGTAGGAGCACTTCAATTTTCCCCCCCATCGCCTACCTATTCCCTCCCACCATTATTTCTATCATTTTGATGGCTTCTTCCTGCTGCTGTTGCTGAAGTGCAGCCAGCCTAGTGATGTGCAAGGCAGCTATTGTCATGCCTGGCCTTGTTCCTGAGACCGCATGCACCATTCTCCAAAAAAACTTGAGAACTTGTCTTCATTTGGAAAACAGCACATGCAGCCTCAGGAAAAAGAGTTACCGTGGGCAGCAGGTGCCTCATGTAGGAAAGAAGGTCAGCTGCACGGGGCAGGTCTGGCACAAGGTATGTCAGCTGAGATTCAGCAGTGGGGTGGGTGGCTGCAGCATGGACTCAAGGTGGCACTCCTTGGGGGCAGTGGTGGCACCTGCGGTACTGAGGCTGAGAAAGAGGTCTGGGGGCAGCTGAAATTACTGAAAGTCCTAGGCCTCTATGATGGAATTGCGCAGCTGGTGTTCAAATGAAGTCCGAGACACTGACACAAACTTGTAGTTTTATTTATATTTATATTGATATTGATTTATTTATTTATTTTGTCGAGTACATATTAGATAATATATATAAGTATAAGCATGAATTGAATACATAAAATGAATACAATTAATGGGAACATTAGGACAGGGACGGTAGGCATGCTGGTGCTCTTATGCACGCCCCTTACAGACCTCTTAGGAATGGGGTGAGGTCAACAGTAGACAGTTTTAGGTTAAAGTTTTGGGGGTTTTGAGATGAGACCACAGAGTCTGGTAGTGCATTCCAGGTATTGACCAGTCTGCTGTTAAAGTCATATTTTCTGCAATTGAGTTTGGAACGGTTCACTTTAAGTTTGTATCTATTCTGCGCTCGTGTATTCTTGTGGTTGAAGCTGAAGTAGTCATTGACAGGTAGGACATTGTAGCAGATGATTTTATGAGCTATGCTTAGGTCATACCGAAGGCGGCGTAGTTCTAAATTTTCTAAACCCAGAATTTCAAGTCTGGTGGCATAGGGCATTTTGTTATGAGCAGAGGAGTGGAGGACTCTTCTTGTGAAATATTTCTGGACGTGCTCAATTGTACTAATGTCCAATATGCAGTGCGGGTTCCATATGTATTTTAATATAGTTATATAAATAACTATATTTTGCATCTATATATACACCAAAGATAGGCAAACAGGAGCATCATAAATCACAGAGCGCACAGGCACACAAGGGAAAAAAGGCGGGAAAAGGGGGAAATGTTCTCTCCACACCCACAGCAACCAATCACAGTGCAGATTGCCTCACACAGGAGCTACCGGTAGCACTCTTCAACCAATCAGTTATAACTGTGTCCTGGCTCATTGCACAACCCCACTGCTCCAGCTACTAAATTTAAGTATCTTAACACTCAGCCCCAGCACTGCCATCATTCGAGAGGAGGCAGTCCCTTAACCTTAGTGAGGCTTGAGAAAGGACCAAGCCAAGAATGGCTTGGATTGGAGGGGTGGATCCTCCCCTAATGACATTTGGTTAGTGATGGCAAAGAGGACTGCCGGGATTTCCATCGCTAAGTAATGTGGTTATGTGATGCTATGTTTTACAACTGCATTGCTTGTCTGTGGAAATTCTAGTCCAGATTGTCATTGTTAACCAAAGACAACCTGTATACCTGTAACAGTTGTGTTATATGGATGTCTCAATGTTTGTTTGGTTTTTTGGATGCCTTGCTAATTGGTTAGAGTTTGTTTTTGTCTAGGAGATTGTGCTAAACTCTAGAATGTTCATTTTAAAAAAAGAAAGAGCAATAAATTAAAACTTTTCCAACAGATTTAGTCCTGGGATACTAATGCAATGATCACCTCGTTGGTTACATCCAAACTGTTAACCGGCAAAACAGAATAAAGGCAAGCAAAACCAAAGAACGATTAACATATTCATTAAAAGGCACACCAGAAACCATACTGTGAATAATTAGCACGAACAGTTCCCAAGAAAGGGGCCTTTGGTTATTCCAGCTTCAGCCTGTTCTGTAAATCATGGCATAACAATAGAGACGGAAAGCTGCTGCCCAGTGATCCCTCCTTTATTCCACACCTCGAAGGAAACAATTTGGTGAATGGAGATTTCCCCCCTGAAATATAGGGTGCTCTAAGCCAGAGATGTCTGCGGGATTTGATGCTCATTCATCCGAATGAGCCAAGCAGCATCGCGCTTTTAGGTGCAAATACTACTCCCAATAAAAGGACAGAAGGAGACGGGGCGAAGCTTGGATTGGGATCATTGCTGTTCAGCTGCCTTCGTTTGACATGCACACACCATTGATGCTTCCATGCCAGTGTTTCTCAATCTTAGCAAAACTCTCAAATGTGGGGACTTCAATTCACGGATTTTTATAAAACCGCTCTGCTAGCTGAAGAATGACCGGTGGCAGCTTACTGTCACTCAGCAGAAGCAAAACAAGGAAACGTTTCTTTCCTCTGCCCACGAGAGGGCTCTCCCTTTTTTCTCTTTGCTAGAGCCGAAATACCAGCTAGCTCGGAGGAAAGAGTCCTGTTTTGTTTTTCCGGGTTATTGGGAAGTTGCTGTGATCGTTCCGCTGGCTACATGGCCGTCCTATTTCAATGCAAGAAGGTCTAGCAGAGAAAAAAAATCTCTCTCTCTCCTTTTTGGCTTAATGCTAAAGTAAGAATTGTTTTCCTTCTCCAGCAGCCGGATATTCGGCTAAAAAGGCTTCTTGACACAGGGCTGAACCTGGGCAGGTAGAAAGCAGGTGGGTCCCCATCCTTCCGTCCGCCCATCCACCTCTTTGTGGATTTGCCCATCCTGCAGTGCAGGTCCATCTATGTGTAAGTCGTTCCCAGCAGCAGAGAGTCTCTTTTGAGCCCCGGCTTTGCTGACCAGTTTTTGTCTCCAACCTGGAAAGAGAGAACTGAAGGAAGATTTATTTCTGAGTATTGGGATGGGATGGGATGGGGGAATCTGCGGTGCAAAATCGGTCTCTTCTCTATGCAGAGAAAAATCTTAAAAGCAGGTGAACTCCAAGCAGCATGAAGGGTCCTATTATTTGCAGAGAAGCCATCTTAGTAAAATTAAAAGCGGATTGTGGTGATATTTCTCTGTGGAGAGGGGACAGAATATCCCAAAAGCAGTTAAGTGTGTGCCTGTGTGTCTCCCTACTCGCCCCATTTTGTCACTTGTGAAGTATTTTACATGCCTTGTGTCTTGCTTTTGCAGTTCTTGGGTGAAGTTTTTCGTTCCCTTTGCTATTTTTGTTTTCAGTATGGTTCACTGCCCAATAAGTGAGATGTATTTTGCTTTTCTCCCAAAATTAGTTGCAAGATTTCCTTTGAGATGGACCCCCATACGTTTCGCCTTTCCCAAATCCCAGCAGAAGAACTAGTTGTTTTGGCCCCAGTGGATCAGCTCAGTGCCTTTTCTAGGAGAAGATGCATATGGTCAGCCTCCATGAAAGCTTCAGTAGAAGTGACTACTCTGCTCATGGACATTGAAGAGTACAACAGGCAGATGTTTCGTTCCAACGCTCGTTCTTTGGGAGAACGTCCTTGGCAGACTCTGTTCCAGCTGGGAGAGGCTGCTCAGAGATGGCTAAGACCACAGGACCGCACCAAAGGACAGATTGTGGATGTGGTCATCTTGGAGCAGTTTCTGCATGTGCTTCCTTTGGGAATGCAGGCTTGGGTGAGAGCCAGGAAGCCAAGTACCAGCCAGGAGGCAGCTCAGCTGGCTGAAGCTTACCTGGAGCAACAGGTATCCTTGTTAATAAGAAAGGGAACCCTTGATTCATAGCCTAATGCTAGGAATGTTGTTCCTCTAACCACAAGCACTGGCCAAGCAAGAAGGTGTCTCCAGTAGGCTGGATTCTAAACCCACCTGAATTTGTCCTGCTATAGGTTATAAATGGAGTGGGCCAGGGGTGGGTTCTACTTACCTTTACTACCGGTTTGCAATGGGAGCACGCACACACGTACTCAGATCTGCATGCGCAGATTGTCCATGATGACATCCGGGTGGGTGGGCGGAGCCTCCCACCGCTTTTACTATCGGTTCGCAAGAATCAGACAGAACTGGGAGCAGCCCACCACTGGAGTGGGCAGTAGAAAGAGGGAATGCTAAAAATTTCATCTCCCTTGAGATAGTTCCCAACTTTCTAGGAAAGCCTGCTGTTACTTGGAGAACTACAGGTTTAACATAAAGACATTATCCCAGTAGCTAGGCTCACACAAGTTGTAATGACAAATTCTGGGTTAGAATCCCAGTAATATTATTACGCCATTTTAGGACAACTCAGTCACCTAATAAGGCAGTGGCTGGATTTCTATAGCTTGCTGAATTACAATTACAACCAAAAGTCCAAACAGTGAGTTGTGTTTCAGTTGTAGGAGTACAGTTAAATCTCTAACCTCCCTCCTCCTGCCTTAATGTGAGCTAGGCAGTCCCTTCTTCAGTATTGTGTTTGAAATTCAACCACCTGGGAGCTTAATATAAACTTAATATAAACTTGAATCAGGAATTACAAATTCAAGATATAAAGCAGACATAATTACTGAATATTTTTGCTAAATGAAATACCAGCCATCAGAATAGTAGATCAAATGCATTGTTTTGTTCAATTGTCTTCCTCTTGTAGTGCCCTGTGGCTTTCCAGGATGTCGCTGTATATTTCACCCCAGAGGAGTGGGACCTTTTGGATAACGAACAAAGAATTTTGTATTACACGGTCATGCAAGAGAATTCTGAGAACGTGACCTCCTTAGGTAAGGTTCCAGTTCCTGTAAGGCCATACAAACTTTCCTGAATGTGTCAGTCCCAAACAAAGAATCAGCCTAGGTGTAACAGGCAAATTGTATGTTTTTGTAAAGTCATCTTCCTTACTTTTAAGGTTTTTAGGAAAGCTCTGTTGAACCCTCTCCATATCCCCAAGGGCTGTTCCTGCCTCATGCTACATAGTCTAAATGAAACCCATCATTTCTGAAAATTAAGATTTGCCATTGACAATCCAGCATTGGCCAAGGAGACCAGCAGTTGAAATTTATGATGCCTGTGAAACATTGTTTTTATATATAATAACTGCACTGAGATTATTATATGCGCAATGAGTGAAAGATTTGACTTACCCACTATGGATGGTAAAGATGATGACAGCCTTGGTTAGAGAAAACCTATTAAGTTTAATGCTGATTGGAAACCCCTTTACTGATTTTTTGCATGAAACAGGAAAAAAATGGAAATAATTATAATTATTATACAAATGATTATATAATAATTATATATTTGATGATTATTTAAAAAATAGTTGATACTAAAATTGTAATTGAGAGAATAAGAGGTTAAATTACATTTTTACAACTGCTTTAAAAGAAAATGAAAAATCACTTCTTTATAATTTTCTTTCATTTTATCCGTACTTCTGGCTTTGTCTTTTTCTTATCTCTTTCCTTCTTTCCTCTTCTTTTATTCTAAGTCTTCATTTTTGTTAGATCTTACCTTCTTTAAAACTTTAATAAAGATTGTTTTTTAAAGGACTACCTCAGCCTACAGTGGCTGGAAATTAGCATAGACACTGAAAGGGAGAGGATGTCAGGAACACAAATAGTGAATTAAATAGCCTAAAAAAGAAAATGTCATAGATTTCTATCCCAGAAGCTAAAGCTTACTTGGGTCTCTCTATTTTATCAACAACCCTGTATGGTAGGTTGAGCTCAGAGAGAAGGACGGATGCTAGGTCACTGGGAGTTTCCATGGCACAGGTAGATTTTAACTTGGTTCTCCCCAAGTCTAATCCATTACTTTTACTACACTATACTAGTAGACAATTCTAACCTATTCAGTTCTTCGTGTTGTCTGAGGTTGGTTGATTTCCTACAAATATCCCTGAGGGAACAAACAGGCTTGGTATCATTGTTGCATACTGCAGGAAGCAGCACCAGAGAAACAATTAAGAAAGAAAAAAATACTCTGATCGAGGCACAATCAAGAAAGCAACTTAACCCCAACCAAGTTTCTATAAACAACCAGCATACACCACGCACTCATGCACTGATGATGATATCTTGCCTGGCAAATAAAATGTCTGCAGAAAAACAACCAAGTTAAGAGGTCCAAGAAATAAACAGTTCAACGTTGAGCCACACATCTTCACTACTATAAGTAGTTCTTGCTTAGTGACAATTATTGGGACCGGCAAGTCTGTCACTAAGCAGCATAGTCACTAAGCATAACACATGACCATGAGGAATTGATGACTTCAATTCTCATTTGGTAAGTAAGTAAGTAAGCAAGTAACCATAAGTTATAAAGCAACATCATGTGGCCATGATCTGCCAGTTTCTCCACTGACTCTGCTTGTTGGAACCTGGTTGTGAAGTGCACAAATAGTGATCACATGACTGCGGGATACTGCAATGATTATAAATACTGTCCACTTGGCGAAGTTCCTGAATGGTTGTGGTGACACTGCAACGGTCATAAATGTGAGAACTTACATAAAATGTAAGTTATTTTTTTCAAATGCCAATGCCAAAGTGGCATTGTCACTTTGAATAGTTGAACTGGGCATTAAGGGAGGTGTTGAAATTTTAAGCTAACTAAATAACCAGCCGGACCCAGGATATTTTATTGTGTTAAATGGCTATAAAAGAATCAATAATCCTCTTCTCTTTTATTGTGTTTCTTTCCCTTGCTCTAGAGCTCTTAATTTCCAAACCAGATCCATATCTCCAGCTTGACTGGGGAGAAATATCACAGATGGCTGATCTCCAGACAATGAAAGGAAAAGACACTATTGATCAAGGGATTGTAAATTGTGAGGACGTAACTGCGGTTGGTAAGAAGGTCTTTCTTTTTTTTGACAAAAGAATCCTTTGGTTACATTTTATTGGGTCATACAATTTATTTATTTTTTAATTCAAACATTTTAAATCTGTCTACTGCCCAGACCCAGGGCGGTTGGGAGATACATCTAATTGATCAGAATATCTCCAAATACATAGGTTTTAGCTCATGTGTGGGATGACATATTCCTTTTCTTCCATTAACATACAGTAGTGCCCAAAATTGTGGAAGCCTTTTGGGAAAAGTGTACAGTATTTTTGAGGTTTGATGGCTAATAACACCACTCTCATCACTCCAAATAACACTGTCCCATTGTTCCTCTGTTCAGGTAGCATGGGTTTTAGCCCAGTTTAGTCTTTTTAACCTTTGTTTGAGAGATAAAAGTGGCTTTTTTCATGGAATTCTAGATTTTAGGCCAAATTCCTGCAGTCTGCGCCGAACAGTCCTTGCACTCAACTTCACGTTGCATTGTGCCATTTCATCTTGTATACACCCAGATGATTTTCTTCTGTCGTGTGGGCACAGTCTCTTAATTCTTCTATCATCACTTGCTGTTGTGCACCTTTTCCTGCCTTTACCAGTGTGGTTTTGGAGTGACTGAGTCTCTTTATACTTCTTCAAAAACTTAGAAATACCACTTTTGGTTAAGTTTCCACCAATTTTTCTTCTAATTTCTTCATAACTGTAGCATTGTTCACTTAATAATACTATTTTACATCGCTTTCTGAGTGAACAGTCAACTCTTTGCACCATTACTTTAATTTTATTACATTCTACAAGCTCACTAAATGAAAGAACACAGAAAAACCCCAACCAACTTGATAGCAATCACATAACACACTGACAAATGTCCTCCTCTCAGCTTCAATACATGACATCAGTAACTGAATCCTACTGTGAACTGATTGGCTCATTGCCAAAACAAGATGATACCCGATTGGCTCTTGAAACACTCATGCTCATTGGCTCCAATAAGATGAAGGAAAGCTACCTGATATCAACCTAAGCAAGTTGTGCTTCCTTTTTCTGGTTATTTGGCTATAATGTTTCATAGAATACAGATAATTGAACAAACTTTGTTGCATTACATTCTTGATTAAATTATCTTTCCATTGATATATAATTTTATGGTACTACTCTAAAAAAAAAGTGGTGTTATTAGCCACCAAACCTCAAAAACACACTTTTCCCAAAAGGTTTCCACAATTTTGGCCACTACTGTAGTTGTAACTGTTGCCCTGCCAATTTCATTACCTCCCACTTTCAACCATCTGAGTTGGCTGTACTAAATCAGAGAATGTTTCTGAGGGTTAACCACTCAGCCATCCTCAGCCACTCAGCAGAATCAGGGGGACATTCAGTAACAGCCATTCCAATTCATCAGCCCCTGCCAAAGCCTGTTTTAATTGACATTGTGGCTTCAGTAACGCTAAGTCCCAGTAAGTCTAAACTCTACCCAATAAGCTTGTCTTTTCCAGATGGCCATCACATAATGTACATCTTTAGAGCTTGCTGCTTTTAGATTTACAAAAGAAATCTATTTTCCTGCAGTGTTTCCAGTATTTCCTCTGCATCCTTATTGTTCTTGCAGAAAATGTGGATACAAGAAAGAATCCTCATCAAGAGAAGCCTGGAGCAGAGCAATTTCATGAACCATTGCGGTGGGATGTTTCCTTCAATCCTAAACATTCTGAAAAAATGGGGATCAAATCCAGAAGGCGGCAGGAGTTATCACCGGAGTTATTACAACTTTCCAAGGCTAACAAGAAAATGCCTAGAAGTAACTCCCGATTAGCTACTATTGCAACAAGAAAAAAATATGGATGTTATGAGTGTGGAAAAAGGTTTGATCAGCCGTCACATGTTATTAAACACCAGAGGATCCACACAGGAGAAAGGCTATATCCATGTAATGAATGTGGGAAACGTTTTAATAAGCAGTCTAATCTTAATGTCCATTTACGGCTCCATCGTGGAGAGAAACCTTATAGCTGCCCTGATTGTGGCAAAAGATTCAATGCCAAATATCATTTACGTGTACACCACAGGATACACACAGGGGAGAAGCCTTATGTATGTGAAGACTGTGGGAAAAGATTCCCTGTTAAAGCTTCCCTAAATAAGCACCAACGAATCCATTCAGGAAACCCCAACCCGGTCATACCATCTGAGATCAAATCAGAAGGCAATACCCAGGCAGTATTACCAGAAGTGATACAGGTGTGCACAGTTCCTGATACAGAAAAAATAGTTAAAATTATCAGTACCAATTCCCCAATAGAGATAGCAGTGTCAAACAGGAATTATGTCTGTTTTGAATGTGGAAAACGTTTTGAGCGGCCTTTACACCTTACTAAACACCTGAGGATTCACAAAGGAGAAAGGACATATCCATGTATTGAATGCGGGAAACGTTTTAATAAGCAATCTAACCTTACTGTCCATTTACGTCTCCATACTGGAGAGAAACCTTATGGCTGTCCTGAATGTGGCAAAAGGTTTTGTACTAAATCTCATTTACTTGGACACTATAGGATGCACACAGGGGAGAAGCCATATGAATGTGAAGTCTGTGGGAAGAGATTCCCTGTTAAAGCTTCCGTAAATAAGCACCGCCGAATCCATATAGGAGACCCCAAGCTGTCCAAACCAATTGAGATCAAATCAAAAGGCAATACTCAGGCAATATTACCAGAGGTGACACATGCAATTCCTGTACCAGAAAACTTCATCGAAAATATAAGTAAGAAGCCCCCAATAGGAATTACAGTGTCAGACAGGAATTTTGTCTGTTGTGAGTCTGGGAAAAGTTTTGATCAATCTTCACACCTTACTACACACCAGAGGATCCACACAGGAGAAAAGCTATATCCATGTAATGAATGTGGGAAATGTTTTAATAAGCAGTCTAATCTTAATGTCCATTTACGTCTTCATACTGGAGAGAAACCTTATGGCTGTCCTGATTGTGGCCAAAAATTCAACATGAAATCCCATCTACAAGGACACTATAGGATCCACACAGGTGAGAAGCCATTTCAGTGTGAAGACTGTGGGAAGAGCTTCCGGGTAAAATCTTGTCTAACTAGGCATCAGCAAATCCATACAGGAGAAAAGCCATATAAATGTCTTTCCTGAGGAAAAAAAAATCAGCTAATTAAACACCAGCTGTTTCACTCTGGGAAGAAAAATTGCATGTGCTTTGAATGCAACAGATCAGATTTTATTAAGCATGAAAGAATTCACACATGAAAAAAACCCTTGTCTATGTTGTTATAAGCACTGGAAATGCACTGGGAAATATTTCCATGCAATTTTTATATGATTATTTTCCAGGAATTCACTAATAACTCTCTTGCAAATGCTTTTATGGAGCCAGAGGGAAGCAGTGTGCATTTGGAACTTAATTTTGTGTCCATCTTCTATAAGAACTGCAGGCCTCTTGTTTAAAATGCATTTTTTAGGATTGGCCTGAAGGAGCTTCATAAACAGTAGACATTCCATGCAAAAGCATTGATACCATGCTGGCTGGCTTTGATTTTCCTAGGAATAAATGGCACTATCTTCCAGATAAGTAGTTCTGCACTCCAGGATAATCTGAAACTAAGTAATAGTTATTGCTGTTCTCTAAGAAAACCTCATTTGGGACTATGACAAACCCTTAGATTAATTTTGCATTTGTTTCCCACTCAAGCATGGCTATTTTATGGAAGCTTGTCTTGAAATGAATGAGACACTTCATAAAAAAATATTCTAAATCCAGTAGCGGTAAGGCAGAAGAAGCATTTAAGACTTGCCTTTTTGCTCAGCGGGATTCAAAATGAGATGTATGAAATTTGCACAGGTTGGACAAAAATCAAAAACTGACAGATAGAAATGTAGCTTCCACTTCAAGATGCTGCTTCGGGAACATCAGTCGAAAAAGAAAGTCCCCTTCTTCCTGAGTTTTGATTTCACCCAACATGCTTAACTGAGTCATAGAGGTAGAGTGTTGTGTGAACAGAAAAACTGGTATGATTGGTGCCCACCCATTAGCCCTAAGAAAGTTTATTTTTAAATCAAGCAGTTCTAGTTTTCTGGAAATCAAGTAGCGCATGCGTGAATATACAGAACACACATTGTTTAAGCTGGATTGTCTACGCAGCTGACCTGAAGGTTAAATAATATGTCTATCTTCCGTAGCCTAGTGCTAGAGTCAATTTACAAGACACGAACATTCTAGGCATTCCATCTTAGTGGTTCTTTTGGCTTTTACCACCAGAGTCACACAGAAACACTGAAAAAGAGACAGAACATAGTAGATATTTTCAGGCCCCTAATGTTGTCCATGGTGGATTGGTGGTGATTATGCCAGTGCAAGATCTCCCCTCCAGCAAAACAGAAGCCCAGGAATCCTGGCCTTTTTGGCAGCAGCTGGGAAGACTTGATTTAGATGTAGTGGCCAGAAAGCTGGTGCGCCCCAAGCAATGAATGGAATGGAGGAAAGTAACTGGGTGAAGGACACCAGTCAGCAGGGTTGTCTGAAAATGATCACCAGTTTCCACCAAGTCTTGCACTGTTGAGGCTCGCGTACTTTTGTAGAAGTCCAATGGAGAATATTAACAATTATTTCCATTTTCTTGTTCTATAGTCATTCTGATTTTTTTTTTTAGTGACAACTTTTCAAGATCAGGTAAAGTTGTAAGAAACGATTTGCCCCAAAATAATCAACTGTCATTTTTTTTTTAATGCACATTGAAGCCAGTTAAACATGGTTTTTCCACTATCTCCTGCAATACTGTTTGTTGCTAAGTGCTGCTGTTCAAGGTAGGCTAGATGTGGGGGTGATAAAGAATTGTTACTCTTTTATTCTGGGTGGGGTGGGGAATGTGACATACTGGCAAAATAATTAGGCATTTTCTGAATATTTGATCCACTGAGCCCCAAAGGAATGATGCCATTCCTGAAATCAATAATAAACTGCATGCAAGGTACATGTTTTAAGAATAAAAGAATAAAATATTGTAGTTGCTCCAGCAGTTCTCTGTACGCAGCCTTTCCTGAATGTGCTTCTTACCTGTAGGTTCTTTAGCTGACTTCAGATTGCTGGAAAACATCTTGCTAAATGTTCAAGGCTTCTAGTCCAGTGATTTGCCTCAAGAGAGCCTGCTCCTTGAAGTGGGCATAATAAAAAGAGAGATTAAGATACAGATAGCTATAAACACTGGCTAGTTTGCTCTCTTGTGCGGCTAGTCCCTACAACCTTGGTCTGAAACACCCTGTTTTTACCTTCAGAAAGCCTTTAAAAACCTGGATATTTTTTTTCTAGGCTTGAGGGCCTGGATATTGGCAGGAGCCATCTTGCATTCTTGCCCTGGGCTGATGTGGTTTATTCTTTGTCTGGCATCCGTTGGTTCTTGTTGTTTTTCCTATTATTTTTATATGTATGTTTCAGACGTTTTGTTGGTTAGTCACCCAGAGCTATTTGATAAGAGAAATCTATATAATAAACTAATAAACAAGCTAACTCTTGGAGATGATTTTCAATTGACTCTGAACTTTGACTAACTCATAACCTTTGAGATATGAAAAGTCTTTGACGCACTTTGCATCAGGTTTTAGAATATGGAGCAACAATCCTGTCTTTTAGGACGCCTAATCTACCATTGCTGGGAATCATAGGTACAGAATAATACCATGGAATGGAATTATGGAATGTGGGAAAGACCTTGGGAGACAAGAAGAGGCTGCCTATGGAATGGCCAGATAAGAGGGATCTTAGACTACAGCTGGATACTGAGTAGAGCAAGAGACTCAGAAAGGACCCTCCTCCCTAGTTTCTCAGGCTATAAAGGAAATGTTGGGAGGACTGTACTTTCATATTTGTAAGCTTCTGTTAACGTAGCTTTTCTGCTTGTGCTTCCTGTGTGGTCTGCCTGTTAAGGCTGACATCATGCGCCAACCATTCTCCAGCTGCAGGCTATGCTCTCTCTTATCTGACTATTCCCTCGGCTGCATTTCTTTGCCCCGTCTTCCAAGGTCTGTCACATAATGTACTTTAGCTCTTGATGCTTTCAGGCTTACAGAAGAAATCTATTTTCCTGCAGTGTTTCTAGTATTTCCTCTGCTTCGTTTCTTTCTTTAATTTAGAATTGTCACCCCTATATCCATATGACAGCTTTCATAACAGGGAATTTGACAGAAGAGAGCAGAGGGAAGGATTCTGCAGTCTGAGGAAGAGTAATCTCAGGCATTTTTGTCCAGGTGAGGTGTTCGGTCAACTCTTTTTGAAGTAAATTTAGGAGGCTCAGAATCCGTGAAGATATGATTGGGAGCTATGCTCTCTCTTTATCTGACTATTCCCTAGACTGCATTTCTTTATCCCATCTTCCAAGGTCTTTCTTGTATACCATTGCATACCAGCAGCATGTCTCATGAAATTATAAATCCTAAAGCAGAGAAGGACTTGTACATTAATACTGCAGTCCCAAACATTTCTGGCTCCATGGACTGGCAGCAGCAGTTGTGGCTGGGGAGGAGATGGTTTCACAAGCACAGCCTAGTTCTCATGCATGTGCAAATGAAGCTTTGCACACTCGGCCACCCCTTGTCCCAATGGGCTGCAGCCCAAGTTTTGGGGACCCCTGTATTAATGCACCTGAATGCCTCCCATTCTGCGGTTTCAAAACTGAGGTATAAGAAGATCCTGAATATGAAATTCCTTTGTTGCACTGGGTGTTTTGAGCTGGCTAAGCATGTCCTTGTCTGGTGCCTGCTACATAAAGGCACACATTAATTAGTTCCCCACAATGGAACATCATCCCCCCTGAAATTAGATTGGCTTGGGTCCCTGAGTGTGAAATAGAGCCCATTTTTTGAATCGATAATTATCTGGCTGCTATGTATCTTATTTGTATTTTTGATATTGTGTATTTTATGTATTTTACTTTATTTTATTGTAAACCCCCTAGTGTCATATAAAAGTGAGATGGTTGGCTACATACATTGAGTGAATGAATGAATGGATGGATGGATGGATGGATGGATGAATGAATGAGCAAGGCCAACAGGGCATGCTGATCAGGCACATTTGCAAATTGAACTGATTGACTATATTTCTTCGATAACATCCAAAATGCTTCTTTGTGTGTGTGTGTGTTTTGTGCTTGTGTTTATAAAACCCATCCGGAATTGATTAGGAAAAAAAGATTTAGCAACTTTGCTAAATTTTCAGGTGCTATTATATAAACTTCTATTTATTGCAATCAACACTAAACTGATAATCTCTTATTTTAGATGTATAGTTTATTTCTACAAAAACTATTTTATAACCTTGTACCATAGTATTTATATTTTCTCACATACAGTTTATGTTAGTATTATTATGGAGGTGTAATATTTTACAATATTAAGCTACAATATTAATCTTCAGTTATTGTTCAAATGGATGTAATTGTTATATCCTCATGGTTTTATGTTATCTTATGCTGGCCTGTGACCAAAATAAAGACTCTCATTATTGTTGAAATCATTCTAGTACAGCCTTCCTGATGATCTATATTGGTCTAGAGACTCTAGATCATTAAGAGTTTGGTTAAACCAGATTTAGGAAATAGATTTAGTTCATGTTAATTTAAAGGAACAAAGTTGCCAATTCTGTTCATTGCAAAAGAATAACCAATAGCTATTAATGGCATTTCTTGGTTCAAAACTTCCTAAATTATATTTCCTCATGTGAATGTCTCCAAATGTATACACAATTCCCATCTCTTTCTTTCGGGGAAGAAATTGTTGTGCAACAAAGAGGGCAAATATGTGTGATGGGTCTCATTTTGCATGCTTGCTTTTATCTGCACAAAATATTATATATATATTATGTTTCTTGTTCATGAAAGGCAAAGAAGTAAGAGTTAGGAACATCTATATGTATTTGTTTACTACTACTACTACTACTGCTGCTGCTACAGTAAGAACATCAATTAGAAGTAGGGCTACTAGATAAACCCTCTAACTTCTTTTTTTCAAAATTCTCTTAACCTGTCTGTTCTATCCTTTCCTATTGGTCAATGGACACATGTGATGTCACAGCCCTCTTTATTCTCCTATGTGGGAGAGGGAGAGCTCACAATACTTATTATGAAGTGTTGGGCTTTTCGGGTACTACTGTTAACTCTCAAGGTAAAGCATTGTTCTAGCTGACCAATCAAAGGGCAAAGGACTGGTCCCTCATTTGAATACAAGTCAGTATATCACAGAAAAGGGAGAGACATTAGTGAGGCACTTATCACTACAAACTTCAGGTGAGCATAAGCACAGAAGATTGAAACAATGGCTATTGTCCAAGCCCAGAAAAAGTTACAACCTCAGAAGAAATTGAGACAGAAACAGAAGAGGAAACAAGGAAGAAATCGGCAACGAAGGAACTTGGCAATCAGTCAAATCAGGAAATGTGAGAGTTTTGAGGCTAAGATTTTGCCACCTCTTTTCCTTTCCCAACGAAAGATGCCTCTGTCAATGAAGGGGAATAAAAAGGCAGTCTTTGCACAACGATACCTCCTGGCAACACAAGACGGGGAGCAACAGTGCTACCTCAGCAATTACGTGTCCTCCCAAGCCAGCATGGGCATCAGTGAGGTGTATCCAGCAATTGTGTGGCAATGCAAGCCCCCTGTGGTGAAATGGCCGGTGACGGTGAGACATCAGCAGCAAAGTGCCCTCACCACCCACTTGTGCCAAGATGACCCACAAAGATATGTCTTCAGCAGTGCCGTACCCTCACCAGTTATCTGTGGCAAGATGGGGACCAAACTCTGCACTCTCACCACTAAAGATCTTCAGTACGAAGTGAATGAGATGATATCCAGGCAGTTGATACCATGCTTGTTTGCCAGTGACCCTAGCATCTCTCCTTATTAGCAGAGTCATCACGTCCTTCCTCCCTGGCTGGCCTAAATTAGTCTCTGAAGGAGAGAAGGAAGAGTACAAGTGGCCAGCCTGAGAAAAATCCCATCTTTCACCCAATGGAAAACCATCTAAGGTACCTCCCAAACCCAATCATTTTATGACAACAATCTTGCCACCTACAATAGTCAAGGAATATAGCAGATCTTCACACAGAATGGCCTTGAGAAGGAAAATCAGCCAAGCAGAGGACACAGTTTTCATTAGAAAAAGATCTTACTCCTCAGGGTGTTGTACTTCCAAACATTCATATTGTGACTGAAGAATTTCCCTTCAGAAACAGCAAAAGCAACTAGTTATTGACATACAAATAAAATGGGATTTAGAATGAGTGACACCTGTTTAACAGTGTTATGTATCTTGAGCATGTTTATTGCAAAATTTGGGGGTTTGCATACGTTGATTATGGTTCTAGCACCTTTTCCCAAATTCACATCTTCTCAAGCATTATAGATGACTGACACATGTGAGTTTTGCCCCTTAAATTTACAAACATACATGTACAGCACATAGTACTACGCTCTAACTTTCTACCATGAATTAATTTTGTGCTAGTGGTCATTTGTTCCGATTACAATAAAAGTGAAAAGGGTTGATATTCTGTCTTTTTGATATTAGCAGGTGTAACAAGCCAGGGGAGGAAATCCATTATTCCAAGATGACAGATACACATACTGAAGAGAAAAATAGTGTGTTTTACTGCATATAAAAATGCCATGCTCTTTATTTAGCAAGATCTGGGTTATAATAAATTCTGCAACGGCAATTCACTTTTGGTACCAATAACCACCTTGAGTTGCCATGGGCGAATAGGCGACAATATAAATTCAATAAATAAATAAATAAATAGTTAACCTCCAATTACCTCAGAATTAGCCTTGTAATTTTCCCCTCCCAATAACAGGATTTTGAGTCGATTTCCCCATGAATTTTTAATCCCCGGTTATGCAACAATTTCCTGGTGAACAAGTTCTCTTTGTATTCCGGCAAACCATTTATCCCAAATGATGTAATTGTTTCGAAGTGAACTTTTAATCCCAATGACACGTCCACTAGCTGATTTTGGCATGAAAATGTCTTGTGGAAAATTACTTCAAATGCATTCCATACCTCGATCTACATTAGTGTGGCATACAAGATATAGATTGTAGTTTAGAGGCACCACCCCAGAAAAAGTAACATGAGTATAAAAATTACAGTTAAGAAGATATATAACAATTATAATGGCCTTGAGCCCAGAAGTCAATAGGAAACTGTTTTGGAACCCAGAGTCCCATGGAAAACTTAGAAATACAGAAGAGAAGAACCTTAAACTCAGACTTAGAATAACTTTGTCACTTTGAGTGTGTAAGAAGTTAGCACCCAACCCTTTCCTGAAGGAATGAAATATTTTGGGAAATATTAAAAAGGCAGAATATTATGTTTCCCTGGATGAGAAATGGAGAAGCATGTTTTAAAGACGAAGTAGCTCCCATCTTCCTACCCGCACCCTTTGTCAAGAGGCCAGAGGCAGAAACTCAATCTTTGTCAATGGCCCATCATCTGCAACACAATAGGACCCATCTAGCAACAGAAACTCACCACATGGCACCTGGGAAGATTACATCAGCCAGCAAGGCTAGCTAAGACCCCCACCCCCTGGGAGTCTGACAACCAATCAGGATACTCTTTCTGGGCCCCAGGAAGTTCAAAGCCAGAGAGGGCATAAAACCTGGGGACTTGCTGTGTCTCGCCCCTTTTCTGTTCAGGAACTCAAACCATGTGATCCTGTCCACCATTAAACCATCTTTCCAAGCAGTCTCCATGTTTCCAGTGTCTTTTTCCCCACTTGGAGCTGAACCCAGAAGGATATTTCTTCCTACAAGTGTACACTAATCGGCATACATTAAAATGAAATTTCATTGTGTACAAGGGTCTCAAAGGGTCTCCACCTCTAATATACATTACATAAACATGACTAAATAAATAAATAAACAAATACAAAATTATGCATATACCCACATATATGACATGGAGAAACAACACAGTCTAGTTCAGATGTATACATGTACATGGCGTGAGAAACAAATCCTGCGAGCTTACCAAACAGATGGCATAAGGAACAAAGCTGTTACAGAATCTGGAAGTCCTGCTAGAAATATTTTGAAACCTCCTCCCAGAGGGGAGCAACAGAAACAGACTGTTAAGTGGGTGTGTGGGGTCTCTAACTATCCTTTGAACTTTAAGCATATAGCACTTATAAACAGTATCCTGAATAACGGGAAGCGAGCTTCCTATAATATTCTCAGCTGTCCTTACCACTCTCTGTATGGACTTTCTATCTGAGGCACTGCTGCCACCAAACCAAACAGTGATGCAGTTTGCTGAAACGCTCTCAGTCATGCCTCTATAAAAAAGTGGCCAGGACAGAAGGAGAAAGATACGCTCTCCTGAGGTTCTCCTGAGGTTCAGAACCATGTTGATTGCAACAATCATTGGGTTCCTACTTTATAAAAAAGAGGGATCCTGAACAAAGGAAAAGCAAAGATTTTTACAGTTGACAGCTATAAGGCATGAAATTTCAGGGATCAGATTTGCTGAAACAGAGATGAGCACCACCCCCTAGAGTCAGGAACAACTAGCACATATATGCAAGGGGAACCTTTACCCTTTACCTTTTTTAAGGAAGCTAGGCAGGCCCTTGTTAGTATCTCAGTTAATTCTATTATTAGGCAAAATGGTCCTTTCAGGAGGGCAGCATTGTGAAGGAGAAGGAATGTTGAGGCAATCAAGCTGATCGAGGATGAAAGACTGGGATTCCTCTAGGTTGTAAGAGCTGCCCTTGGGCTATTCTCTGAGTGGGTTGAGGAGACTTATTTTGATGGGTTTACAGGAGGGTTTTATCTGGAAGCAGGGAGGACCAATTTGAATCAGATAGGACTAGACAAAAACAGAAGCTCAGTTTGACCCTGCTCATGTCCAAAAAGCAGGGAGGAAAAAGGGTGAAACCTCCATGTTATTTGGTACATTTATTTTCTCCAGAACACAGTGATAGCACACTGAATTCAGAGAGGAACAAAGGAAAGTTTCGAGTACAAGAGAAGGTTGCCACTTTATGCAAAGAAGGTGTGCTTTAACATATACATCAGTCGTGGTTTTACCAAGGCCTGGCAAGCAGCAATACAAATAGGAGAAATTTAGAGGGCATGCTAGAACAATCTTCATTTGGAAAAGTCATTGCTGGGTTCTCTTGCTGTTGCTACCAGAATTGCTGCAAGCAAGGGGTTATAGAAGGGCCTATGGCAGTGTTTCCCAAACTTGGCTATTTTCAGATGCATGGACTTCAACTCCCAAAATTCCCCAGCCAGTATGCCTGGTTGAGGAATTCTGGGAGTTGAAGTCCATACATCTTCAAAGGGTCAAGTTTGGGAAACACTGGCCTATGGAAAACACCCTGCCCCACTTTCCTTCAAACTGGAGCAGTTTTTCCAACCAGACAGGCCTGCCAGAATCTTCCTAGTGCAGTGGGCCTTTGGGTTTATTATAGAAGGGGTCTGTTAATTAAAATCAGCATTTTTTGAACCTTTGGCTCTATAAAACCTCAGACTCTGGAGCTAAAGAAATAGGAAGATTTTGAAAAACTGAGTGGTAAGGAGTCACCTAGTTTACAGTGCATCCAAGGACACAATGGGAAAAAGTGTTCCAAACAATCTAATTGAATATTACAGTATTACAGTATTACAGTATCAATATTACATGATTGATTGATTGATTGACAGACCGACGGATGGATTATATGCCATCAAGTCAGTATTGACTCTTAGTGTACACTTAGATAGATTTTCTCCATAACAATTTGTACCTAACTTGGTCTGTCAGGTCTTCTAATGTTGTACCTATCACTGCTGTAATTTATTTATTTATTTATTTATTTATTTGATTTGTATACCGCCCTACTCCCGAAGGACTCAGGGCGGTGAACAGCCAACAATAAAATACATAAATACACAAAATTTAAAAACCCGATAAAATCAAATTAAACTTTTTGGCCCAGACAAATTAAAATACCCCAGTAATTTAAAAATTTACATATTTTAAAAAGGGAAGAGATCAGGCCAAGCCCGCTTGATGGAATAAAAAGGTCTTCACAGCACGGCAGAAGGAGCGCAGATCCGGGATCCTCCGTATCTCCGGGGGGAGCTCATTCCAGATGGTAGGTGCCCCCACAGAGAAGGCTCTCCCCCTAGGGGCCGCCAGTCGACACTGTTTGGCTGACGGCACCCGGAGGAGTCCCTCTCTATGAGAGCGTACTGGCCGGTGGGGGGCTATTGGTGGTAGTAGGCGGTCCCGTAAATAACCAGGCCCTAAGCCATGGAGCGCTTTAAAGGTGGTAACCAAAACCTTGAAGCGCACCCGGAAGACCACCGGGAGCCAGTGCAGCTCGCGCAGGAGAGGTGTTACATGGGAGCGCCATGTCGCTCCCATTACCACCCGCGCGGCCGCACTCTGCGCCAGTTGGAGCCTCCGGGTGCTCAAGGGGAGCCCCATGTAGAGAGCATTACAATAGTCCAGGCGGGAGGTGACGAGGGCATGAGTGACCGTGCGTAACGAGTCCCGATCCAGAAAGGGACGCAACTGGCGAATCAGGCGGACCTGATAAAAAATCCTCCCGGTCACGGCCGTCAAGTGCTCTTCTAAAGACAGCCGTGAATCCAGGAGGACGCCCAAGTTGCGAGCCCTCTCCGTGGGGATCCATCTTGCTGCTGGTCATCCTCTTCTCTTTCCTTCCATCTTACTCAGAATTACAGCTTTTTCCAGGAAGCTAGGTCTTTGAATCATGTGTCTGAAGTAGGAAAATTGGAGCCTGGTCATTTGTGCCTCAAGTGAGAACTGGTTTGATTTGTTCAATGAAGCAATTGTTTGTTTTCTTGGCTGTCCACAATATTTTCAGTAGTCTTCCCAGCACCAAAGTTCAAAATTGTCAATATCCTGCTTCTTCAAAGTTCGAATTTTCACTTCCATAGAGTGCTACAGGGAATGCCATGGTCTGCACAATTCTGATCTATATAGTATAGTGACATCATAGGTTTTTTTTTAAAAAAATCCTTGGCAATCTATCTGTTCATCAGTTTACACCAGTTTTGCAATAAAAATCAGTGCAAGAGACTTGAGGAAATAACAGTAATAATTTAGCAATTATTAGTAATAATTTATTTAGCAATAAATAGCCTTTATTGCTAAAAAAAAATCTGTCCAACATCAAAAGATTCCTGTGCCCCTACTTTAGGTGAGATGCATCTCTTAAACTTGAATGTGCATCATTTTCTTTCTTTACCAGTCTAGCAGAGGATTTCAG